CCTAATAGTTTCGATCTCGCAATGTCGCGTTTTTCTAGTTTAGAAAGGAAAATGTACAAAGAACCAGTGTATGCAAAATTTTACAAATTAAATATGCAGGCTATGTTTGATAAAAACTACGCTGAAGGCCCTGTCAATCTTCAAGTAAATAATAAAAGAGTGTGGTACTTGCCTCATTTTGGCGTCACCAACTGTAACAAACCCGGTAAACTTCGCATCGTTCATGATGCCGCTGCGAAGTCTAACGGTGTTAGTCTAAATTCAATGTTATTGACAGGACCTGATTTACTAAATTCCATCTTGGACATTTTATTTCGGTTTCGTGAGGGAAAGGTTGGTCTGTCTGCCGACATTAGGGAAATGTTCCCTCAGATAAAAATTAAGGCGTCAGACAGAGATGCCCAACGTTTCATTTGGCGAAATTCGCCAACTGAACCTGTTTCCATCTATAGAATGTCCTCGATGATATTTGGTGCGGCTTCTAGTCCTTTTTCGGCACAATTTGTCAAAAATAAAAATGCTCTTGAGTTTCAGCAACAGTTCCCAGAGGCCGTGGATGCAATCTTGAACAATCATTATATGGACGATTGCATTATATCCACATCCTCAGCTGCTGCTGGAGCACAACTTGCCGCCGACATCGTAGCTGTGCATAAAAATGCCGGATTCGAGATGAGGTCTTGGGTATCTAACGACCCAAGAGCTCTCTCACTTTTACCTGAATCATTATTGTTAGACCCGTTATTAGCTAGTGTAGATGTTGATTTAGGTAAGGTCGCTAAGTCCGTTAGAACTTTAGGTTTAGTTTGGCAGCCGCTAGAGGATTATTTTAGTTTTAATTTTAAAAGCTTTGCAGAGAAGTTTATTACTGAACATTTCACCAAACGTGAAGCCCTGTCTCTTATGATGACAATCTACGATCCATTAGGATTTCTTTCTCCTCTTGTTATCAGGGCAAGAATTTTATTTCAAAACGTTTGGCGAAAGGTTATTGACTGGAATCAGAAACTCGCTCAGAATGATATCGCCGCATGGAAAGAATGGCACAAAGTATGTGTTGATTCCATTACGCGTTTACGTATTCCACGTCGATATAATCTGAGTGAATTCGAGGTTTCAGAGCGGCAACTTCACATTTTTTGTGACGCAAGTGAAGTTGCCTATGCGGCCGTAGCTTATTGGCGCTTAAGATTTCCGGACGGTACCATAAATATAGTTTTAATTGGTAGCAAAGTTAGAGTAGCACCGCTTAAACCAGCTTCCATCCCGCGGTTAGAATTACAAGGTGCTTTAATAGCTGCTCGACTAGCTGACACTATCTTCAACGCTCACAGACTTAAGCCGTGTATGCGGACATTTTGGTGCGACTCTATGAATGTCATTGGGTGGCTCCGTAATGACGCACGTAATTTTAAACCCTTCGTAGCCAACCGTTTGGGCGAAATTTCCGAATTGTCGAGTGTATCCGAATGGCGTTGGGTACCAACCAACATGAACTTTGCAGACGATGCCACTCGACTTGGTTCTGAATCGTTACATTCTCAATCTCGTTGGCTTGTCGGTCCAAATTTTTTGTTGTTTGATACAGATGAATGGCCAACAGAGCCAACGTTTGATGACTTGCCTAATCAGGCAGAATTCAAGCCAAAGTATCGAGACGTGTGTCATACCATAGTCGACAACCCAAATGCTCCTTTGGGTCCCATTTCCGCAGATCCTCGTCGAATTAGTAATTGGTTATGTCTCATTCGCGCAACCGCTCTAGCTCATTTGTTTGCACGCAAGCTTCGAAGTATTTGTAAAGTAGACAGATTAACTGTTACCCCTTCGGATATAACAGCTGCTGATTTAAAACTGGCTGAAAATCATGTTTTGTGGCAAAGCCAGCTTGACTCCTTCAAAGTCGAGAGAGAGTGTCTAGAGAAAGCCATTGCCCTGCCACACAGCAGCAGATTACAGAACCTGTCTCCCACTATCGATAAGGATAACCTGATTCATCTATCAGGATGGATCACTGCTGCCGCAGAGATTTACGACTCCACTAAATTTCCGGTAATTCTCGACGGAAAACATCCTGCTGTACGCCTGCTTGTATTGCAATTTCACCAAAGAGCTGCACATGCTAATACCGAGACCGTGGTAAACGAAATTCGACAATGTTACTGGATCATAGGCCTCAGAAACACGGTACGATCAGTCGCTAACAGTTGCATATTTTGCAGACATCGCAAGGCTATGCCATACAATCCTCCCATGGGTCAACTTCCACCAGCGAGATTAGCACACAATAAGAGACCGTTCACCTTTACGGGACTTGATTACTTTGGTCCCGTCAACGTCACCATCGGCCGCCGACGTGAAAAACGCTACGTCGCCCTCTACACCTGCCTAGTCATAAGAGCGGTTCACCTAGAGGTAACATACAGCCTCTCTACTGACGCAGCGATGATGAGTTTGCGAAGATTTATCGCCCGCCGAGGACGTCCTAAGGAAATTTATTCTGACAACGGGACGGCTTTTGTCGGTTTGGATAGAGAATTAAGAAAGCTATACGGTGAGCAAATGTCGACCTTCGCTGCTAACGAGGCCATCCAATGGAAATTTATCCCACCAGCAGCACCATTTATGGGCGGAGCTTGGGAGCGTATGGTGCGAAGCATTAAGACAGCCCTAAAGGTCACTTTAAAGGAAAAAGCTCCCAGTGACGAAACATTGGCGACGCTACTGCTGGAGGCTGAAGCCATAGTTAACAGCAGACCGCTTACACACGTATCTCCTGATCCCGATCATCCCGAGGCTTTAACTCCATTTCATTTTCTCATTGGCACTTCATCAGTAATAAACGTTCCAGCAGATTTATGCGACCGTGACCTTTGCGGCCGGCTATGCTGGAAGAAAGCAGCCAGAATGGCTGACCATTTTTGGCGACGTTGGATCAGAGAATATCTGCCACTCCTCAATCTATCCAAAAGCTCTGGTCAACAACCTAATATTTCAGTGGGAGATATGGTTCTGATTGCAGACGGAAACCTCCCTCGTGGTATGTGGCCTAAAGGTCGGATTGCCAAAATTTATCTGGGCAAAGATGGTATCGCCAGAGTGGCCGACGTAGACACTGCTGCTGGCCAGTTTAAGAGGCCACTGAAGAAGCTTATACCGCTTAAATAAAAATGGGAGGATGTTACCAACCTTGAACCAACCAACCATCCTTTTTGAAGCCTTTTTTACTTTTTTATTGATTTTGTACGTATTTTTGTTTTCCATGTCAAAATATATAGTTGTCACTCAGCCCTATCCTAGTCTTCTTATTTTGGTTCCCTAAATCCCAGTTTTTCATCATAAATCCTTTATCTAGAGCTATCGTTAACACAGTATTTATCTGATATTAACATTAGGAACACTCTCAGTAATACCAACCAAAACAACAAGCAGGGGGCCAATTCTACTAAATAAATTTTGTTTAAATCGAATCGAAAACGGATCGATAACGGGTCGAAACCGAACGAAACTAAAGTTTTTAATAGTTTTTAAATTCTACAAAGTGACAAACGATACAATTCCAGCTAAAATAGAACTGGAATTGTATGTCACTTAGTAGAATAGAAAAACCATTAAAAACTGTAGTTTCTTTCGGTTTCGATCCATTTTCGATTCGATTTTAACAAAATTTATTTAGTCGAATTGGCCCCCAGTATCATTGCCATAAAGAAACAAAAAAGACAAACAAGATATAAACGGTAATTTCGAAACTCATACAGCCTACTGCCTACTTCATTTTTTAAATTTAAGAAATATATGATGCGACTTATGAGAAGACAGTAGAAGTTTAAAAAATATAACGATTATGATTCGAATTTGATATTTGAAAATAAATATCGAAAGCCGAAATATCGCGGGAAAAAATATCGATATTTAGATATATCGATAGTTTTTGCCCAATCCTAGACCAGGCTTACCAACTTAGGGCTTTTAGCCCCAAATTTAGGGCGGAAATAAACTGATTGGGCTTTTTTTAGGGCTCAAGAAAATTTAGGGCTAATTTTAGTGCTAAAAAAATTAAATAAATTAATAATAAAAAATCAGGTAATGTCTAAATTACCCATTAAATCTTTTTATTTGGTTTAAAATAGATTAACCAACATTGTTTACGACATACAAAAGAACTTTATTTTCTCTTCGAATTCGACAATGGATGAAACGTTAAATTATTTGACAAAACAGGTACCAATTGTTCATATATATAGAAGCAAATGTTTAGCTGGACGTGTGTGTGTCTGTAGGCTACCTATGTAGTATATTGCTATGGCTTCAATATGACATTTTTTAATCTATTTGCATTTTCTGTAGTTTTATTTTCGTGTCATGATTTATTACTTTTTTGGATTGGTTTTAGTCATAAAACATAGTATGCTTTCTGGCTTCGTTCATCAAATAGATTCGTCATCGGATGCTTTAAAGTATTTAAGTCTATTTCGCACAAAATGTTCCATGATTATACAAAATGTGCTTGGCCCCTCTCTTCTTAGTGAACTAGTAGAAAAGACAGGAGAGTTTCGTGTATTAGAGTGCGTTTTTATTCATCTAAAAAAAGACAAATAATCACCTTTTTTAGATTAACAAAATTAATTGAATGCGATTCAAGTAATTAATACCAAAAAAATATTAGAAAATAAAACTGAGGTCTATTTTAATCACCTTAATAAAACAGATTTTTTTTAAACTATACCATTAAATCTGTGGGTAATACAAATAGGACAGGGCTTTTTTTGGGGCTTTTGATTACACCATTCAGGGCTATTTAGGGTTATTTGAGTTTGGTTTTAGGGTTTTATTTTGTTGGGAGTTGGTAACACTGTCCTAGACTCGAGTCACAACACTACAACTAAGTTTAAAAGTGAGGTTATATCGATTAAAATTGATCCCTTAAAATTATATTTGATCTAATAGTTTCATTTATAAAAACTCGATGAGGTTATCAAAAATTAAAATATTTTTGCAAACAGTGATAGTTTTTGTTTACTTTGCATCTATCCTGTCAGTCCTCTAAATATACCAAACCCACTGTTTATAAACAAAGTTCCACTAAAAAACTCAGAAATTACTTAAAATGCGTTTCATAATCAAACATGCAAGCTGTGGTGGTGAACGTGTAGGTAATCTTACTGGATTTGCTAAGATGAAAACGGCAGTAATTGAAACACCTACTGCAGCTCTCCTCACACAGGTTGGATATTGTTTACATTTATAAAGAGTAGGTACTTGTCACCCTCTGAAACAGTAAGCAACTACTCTTATTCATCTATTCTATAAACTTCCAGGGTGGCAGCGTTGTTCATCTGACAGTAGATGTTTTGTCTAAAGTTTTTACAAGTCCACATCTACTCTGGGTACCACTATCCAATTCTGCACGACTTGAAATTGGTGTAAAGGCTCAAGGTGAAGGGATAGCTAAATTTGCAGGACTTCAGGGTCATGTTACTTGTGCCACATTGCATAATGCCAGTGAAATGACACCACCTGGACATTTTGAAGCTAATTTTGTTCCTATGTGGACTAAAAATGGAAAAAAAATGATAACCGCTGATAGGTAATTAATTTCAGATCAAACTTACTAGAGTACTCCTTTTATAAAAAGTAACACTAACAAACACCAACTCATCCAATTGGTAAAATTTAGCACTGGCAATATTTTCTTTAAGGAAAATAATATGAGGAAGGAAACAATTAATAGAAAAATATAATCTTCTTCAATATGATTAGGATTGTAAAAATCTATGAATTTGTCTAACCTCTAGGCATGAATGACATCTTGCCTTCTGTTGTATGAATAAGCATTTAACAAATCATAGTGTGTATATCTGTTTACAGTTACTTGGAGAAGAGATAATTTTTCATATTTTTGTTTTGATATTCAGTGAACTTGAACATTATGTAAATATATAGCTACTATTCAGCTAAAAAAAATATTTGTGTTGCATAGCTGAATATAATTTGTGTGTTTTCTAGGTATATGGATATAATGGAAATCTACACACCTGATATACTGTTAGCTATTGCAGATAGTCATATTACTCTAAATGAAGGACAAAAACGAATAAGTAAATCTGTAGAAAGGTCACGTGTTTTATTGGATACTTGTGTGAATAGATATGTAAATTCCAAACGGTTACAAGATTGTGCTCTTATTGGTAAGTAATTTATTTTACTCATTTACAGTTATTCAATCTTTGTTTGATGTTGTGTCAAATGAAGGAATTGACAGAACTAACATTATTCTTAATTAAATATGCTTAAAAGATCCACTTTTTAGCCAACTTCTAAAAAGTTAGTTTCTCAATTTGACCTGTATGTATATTTGTCCATGATCATCTCACTTTTGGCTGGACTGATCTTGAAGTGGTTTTCAAAAAAGTATTTGTAAACTTAGGAGGTTTTAGTATCTTAACCAGCTTAAAACAAGAAGGTTAAACCAATTTTGATGCAATTTTCAGCATAGTATTTGTCAGACCCAGGAGAAGGTTATAGGTATATTAACAAACTAAAAAATGGAGGTTCGCACTTTAACACGGCTTTGACTCTTTTAAAAATGTATTTTTAGTGTTACCTATTATATAAAAATATCAATGTCACTAAAAAGCATGAAATAAAAACTGAAAAAATGTAGAAACAACTTCAAACCAAAAAAAGTGAAAAGTAATAGTTATTTCAAAAGTGACTTATTTAAGAAAATGCTATTGAAGTTGGGCACCAATAAATTAATTAATAACCCACAGAAAACCTCCACCCGACTTTAATAGCATTTTCTTGAATAAATTGCTTTTGAGATAAGTATTATTTTTCACTTTTTTTAGTTTGAGTTGGTTCTATTTTTAAAGTTTTTGAATAGATATTCACCCTAATTGAAAGTTTTAATATTTGTAATAATATTTATTTCCACTGTTTGGGTGGATTGCCAGAACATGGATAAAAATGCGCCCTTTAGTAGCGAAAAAGTAAGAAGTGCTTAAAAAATTTGAAGTCCTGTTTGGTCCTGGGTAGTTCAGTGGTTAGATTGCAAAAGGTTGTGGGTTCCAGGGACAAAGTAGATTTTTAAGCATTTTTTTTTTGTAAATAATATTTTTCAATATAGCATTAAATAGTAAATGCAAAATTGATCAGATATAATAATTAGATCTAATATTGTTCCTACACAATCTTGTGCCTGAATGAAAAATAACATATAAAATTAAATAATCTTTAACTAAAATAAAATTGATACATGTTCAATAACTATCTTTTTTTCTTTGTTTTCTGATTTCATTATGTGCATGGTTGAGTAACTAAAGTTCTGGTTTGCTATCTAGGGTCTGGTACTTTTTTCATTTCCAAAAAGAGTGGCACCTAAATTTTTTTATCACTTTCCACATCACAATAGCATTATCTATTTGTACCTATCTGTGCAATATCTTCAGTTTGTTTATTAATCAACTTATTGAATAAATATTCTTTTCTTTTTCAGGTGTTATAACTGGTACAGGGATAAATGAAAAATGTGATCATTGTATAAAACATTTACTTACTCATAAGGAGCATTTGAATGGTGTGGCATTATCTGGCATGACAGATGGCTCAGAAGAATCATTGAAAATTGAAAAAGACAAATTGGAGACAATTTTTAAAAGTATCAGTGTAAGTAAATTGATTTTATAATAATAGTAATGACACTTAATTTGTACTTAATTATTATAGAAATTTCATTGGAAAGACAGTGGCTTCAAAAATACATGTAAACTTAACGTACAAGTCAGGGCCTTATATATTTATATAACTGGTATTTTTACAAAATAAATTAATAATTATTATACTGTCATTACACTTGGTGGTCATTCAAACATTCTGTGCTTGTTATTATCTCGTGCAGGTCAATATAAATTGTATATATATTTTTATTCCTGACTCCAACTGAGTCTTATGCTAAATACTTGCCATTCACAATTATGTCACTAAATTTTATTCATTATAATGTTGGTTTTCCAGGAATCCATTCCAAGTGAACTTGTAAAGTTCATAGAGGGCTGTTGGACTCCTGATATTATTATGACAGCTATACAATATGGATGGGATGTTTTTGATGGATCCTATCCTTCTAAACTTACGAATGCTGGACAGGCGTTAGCTCTTAACTTTGATGTTGATAAAAACTGTGATGAACTGTGTTTATTGGACCTTAATGATGTTCGGTGAGACCAACTGATGCAAATTATAATTATTGTACCCATCATACTATTACTGATGCAAAATATAATGATTGTAACTATCATATTATACATCTTACATCCAGTTACACAGACAGACATCCATTAAAATTTACATTAGTTTAATGCGAAATTCCTTGAGTTGTACATATGACTACAGTATAAAGTGATATCATCATCAGCCCTCTTACGTCCCTACTGCAGGGGCTCAGGCCGGCCCAATGTGGATTGGAGGGTATTGTCGACTGCAAATGCAGCCGGGACAAAAAGGATCGAAAAAATAATTTTTTGGTCATCCATCCCGTGACTAACCCTTGCGAAAATTACTTAACAACAACTATCCCTGGCCGCGGTACAATGACAAATAACAAAGATTGCCTAGACGCCTATACGTTTTTCGGTACCGTAGCACTGTGTGACGTCACTTAGTGCCTCGAATTTGTAGGGAGTGATTATGGCCGATATACTAGCAGCAGTTCCACAAACAGCACCATATCTCCGAAACCATTAATCGCAGACTTGCTGTTACTTCTACATTATTTCTCAGATATTAATAGACTATTTATTTATAAAGTAAAGAAAGTTGTCATCTAGCCTATTATATATATTTATAATTTAGGGAAGTAGGGGGTTTTCAATTTAAATAACAGAACAATTGTAAAAGCTATTATCTTTGCACACATCATAATTTAATTTAACGTTATAATTTTTTGTAATTACGAGAATACTTAGCTTCCTTAATCTCTTATTAATCTTAAATATATTTGTTTATTTTAAAACTAAATCTAATTAAAATTAAACATAGTGATATTAATTTATAGTGGAATAATCTTTCAGTATTATCAATATGGTGGTGGTTTTTCTCACTGACTATTTTTATATAAATATTCTAAATAATATCTTTAAATTAGTTAAGTTTATTATAAAGTTTTATCTTGGCCTTTTTTTTAATCTCAGCCATTTCTTTTTTGCATATGTAGTGCAATCCTACGTCAACAAAATATTCAATAATATAATTAGGTTACTCTGTCTTATGGTTTCATTCGTTGCTTTCAGGGGACGCATCTTTAGTTTTGTTGTAAATAGATACTCAACATACATGTAAACACCCAGACCCATACAAACCTACATGTTCGGTTTTGGTGTAGTACCAAGATAGTTTTCAATTAGTGTTCAAATTTTTGGTAAAAAAAAATGTAATAGTATACTACCTACTCCATCTATGTGTTTTCTTAGAGCATCGACTATTTGGTCAATATTTGTGAATATTTGCCATATTGGCGGGTAGACTCAGAATAAAACTGTTATTTATATTGAAAATACTTTAATTATTGATTATAGACATTGTAAAATCACATTTGCAACCTGAAAATATGATATTCCAACAGATATATAATTATTCCGATAGTTATATTTGCAGTTTTAATACGCACTGTGGCAGTTGGCGTCGTCGCAAACAAACTAAAACAAAATAAGGCCGCACTTTGAAGTGAGGCGTTGTCTTCGGCCATTTTTGAGACTGACCGGGCGTCTAGTTGTATTGTTGATCAAAACCTTCAAGTGAAAAAAAATGTAGGACCATTTTTATTTAAAACGAGCGCTATCACTGATCAAAATTTCAAATTGTAGAACGTTTATCATCTTCATCATGTCATAAACAGTCTATTAATTCCTCTACTGCTGTGGTTCAGGTCTCCCTATGGCTAGCATCGAATCAAATGGAATAGGCAGAATGGGTCATGACCCATGCGGGTATTCATTAAAGCTAAAAGTCATTATTGAACCTTATTAGACATCTGTGCAACTGGGTATTAGAATTTATTAAATATTAATGGCACAGTCAACATCTCAGGAATGATTGTTTCACCTTATAAATAGGATTGCTCTTTGCATGTTTTTAGACTTTTCTAGGTTACACTCAGTTCTGCACTATTTGTAAGAGTTTATTTTCTGTTTCTTTCCCTTTTCCTTTGATATCTGGTTTCCTCGTGTTGCACCTCAACATGTGACATAAGTTTTAAATTCATCTCTCACTCACTCATACTATTTACGCTGCTACATATTAAATCTATTTAAAGTTACACATTTTGAACATACTTCAGATATTTTTTTTGTTTTCTATTCAAAATTATAATAATTTTAAATAATGAAGCAAACATTTAAATATGTTTCAGTTACAAAGAAGATTTCAGGCCTATACTGGAAGGATGTGAGTGTCACACTTGTAAAAAACACACCAGAGCATATATTCAACACCTTTTAAATACAAGGGAAATGCTATCAACAGTATTACTTAGTATGTGAGTAAAATTTGCTCATTACAAATTAAATTAATACTATTTTGTTGGTTGATACCAAAATGAACAAAAATGTTTTTTGGGAGAGCTCTCCATGCTTTGCTATGCTATAAGTGCTTATAAGAAAACATAAATCCTAGATAGTACTGAGTACCTAATGGCGAATTTTCTACATCGATATATAACTGCAAAAAAATACCCGGCACTGTAAAACTAAAATTTTGTAACATTAATAATTGATGAAAATAAGTAACAGCTACGAGCAGTTTAAACATCGGAATTTTTGGCGCACTTGTTGTGACGTCAAAGTACACGACTAGAGATATGACATTTTAAATCAATATGGATTTTTAGTGATTGATTATTATTCAATTACCCAAATCGATTAACAACTAATCGAATTTTTAAAGTATAATAGACTTTTTTAATAAATCATATAGTTTACCAAATTTATGAAATAAAAATAAAAGTCTAAAACATCATTCAAATTGTATTCTGTTGTTTATTTTGCGACATAATACATTGATGTTATTGCATCGATGTTAACTTTTTGTAACATCGACATCCCTATACGTGTACATTTACGTCACATCCGCTCTGACAAGTAGCATGGCGTTTGAATGTTTTGGAGTTAAAGCATTTTTTTGCAATTTTTAATAATTATTTTTAAAACGAAAACGAATTTATGTTAAAAAATATTAACATATACTTTATTCTAAAGCAATAATGATCGTAATAAAATATATTTAACTCGTTTTTGAATCAGACGCATATTCCTTATTGTGAATGCATAATTGATAAATAATAAGATGTTATTTATATAAAATATTATTATTTATTTAGCGTTTATACGCTGCAGTGTATTTTATAATATGAAATAATTATTTCTTGATATCTATTCTTTATTACAGACATAATCTTCATCACTTCGATCAAATGTTCGTGCACGCTCGACGTCACATAGCATCCAGTACCTTCGACGTTTATAAACTACATATAGTCAAACAATATGAACGATATAAACAACAAGTACCGATTGAAAGTGATAGTGAAAAAGACAAAGATACAGTGCAAACAGCAAAGAAAATTTGTGTGAGTAATGACGTTCTGGAAAATGTTAGTATTTTTAAGTAATAATGTTAAAATGTAAATGGAAAATAAACAAAATAATAATAACGAGAAGTTTCTGAATCTGTAACTGACTTATTCTGTTAAAAATTGAATTATCAAAAATAATAAGTCAGTAATAGGTATACCTGTAGGCCTATTCAGCAACTCAACTGTCAACCTAAAATCGAGATCACCTAAAACAATTCAACAATTCCAATGTGACAAAACACTTTTTCATCTTTTCTAACAATGATTCGGAATTTTGAAACGTGAATATCAGCGACCTCCACTGAACTCCATTTTGACACTTATTTTATATCGATTAACTGTTATTTTGTATTCCAAAAGCATTAGTGACAATGAAAGTTAGTTCATGTAAACTGATCGCTTCATCTAAATAAAAAAAAAATTACAGAACACCAAAACCGCACGTTGACCGCTTGCCCACAGAACTCTGTGAAAAATTTGTTTTGGTTGTCCTCAGAAGTTGCCAGAACTACAGTATAAAAGGGCTAATGTGGCCTGGCGGCGACACGATTTAATGTATGTCAAATTATAGCATGCTCTTAAAGTGCTTAGTAATAATAGACCTTGCGAGTTGGTGTTGACTCATAGACCAATACAGAGCTTGCTGTTTCATGACGTTCAAATGAATCTCAACAGTATGGTGATATAATGTTTTTTTGGCCTACTGTTCTAATTTTTACAGATTCCATAAAATTGGATTGAAATGTGGGGCCCTATGCGGGTCCCCAGCGGTACTGCCGGTGGCATGACCTTAAGCAAAGCTGCCAATGGAATTGATATGCTTCGTTGACGAAATATTGCTGTGGCTTATGACCCTGTAAATAAAAAGAGAGCTCTGTTGTTTCTATAAAAATATTCATTATACAGTAAAATCAACACTAGCACTCTCGTTGTCATTAAAAGCCGCGAACGAATTTTATCCTCGCGTTACACGTGCTAGGTGCACAAGCAAAATTTAAACCCAAATCTATAGTCTAAAATAATATGCCCTACATACGCCAAATTTATGAGATCATTTTCAATTAAAACAAGAGCAAATTCATCTGCCTTTGCTATTTGTTGAAAGAGGCACTAAGGCATTTTCACACAACATTATTAATCTCTTTTTGAAGCGCATTTAATAAGTTTTATCCTTGAGGTGCACGCGTGTTCTAAATTGCAGGTTCCAAAAGTCCTACTCTGTTTCTCCGAAAACTAAGTTTCGTCCATTTTCGAAACGCTAATATGAGTCCATAAAAACCCATTATTCGATAAGTTATAATGCGCGGAAAGAGGTCCTATTTATAGCTGGGCAGCATACCGTTAAACTGTAAATCGTCAATTAACGAAGTTAAGATATTGTTTAACGATTTAACTTTTAAGTTTCGAAACTCACTTCACTTATGCCACGAAACGTTAATATCAATTCAAAGTTGATTGGATGTCGCTTTCGATGTGAATTCGGACGCCCGAGTGAGGTCGAGTTCAAGTTCAGATTTTTACGGAATCGTCCATCAGTACAGTATTTTGTATTATTCATATTAGAATTGCTCACGTGAACATAGCTAATGATCGACGGTTACGGATTTATTATTATTGTTAAGGCTAAAATAACAGAGATAAGTAATATGGCTAATTCGTAACTCAAATGTCAACATAAAATTGTAATCTCCTAAAAAAGCAATTCTAATATGTCAATATTTCTTTTTCGTATTTTCTATCACTGAATCATAGTTTTGGATCGTCAATATCAGCGATCTACACTGAATTCCATTTCGACGCTGGATCTTGTATCGATAAACTGTTATTTCATATTCCTATATGTATAATGTATGTGAAAATACAGCATGCTCTTAAAGTGCTTAGTAATAATAGACCTTGCGAGTGGGTGCTGACTTATAGACCAATACAGAGTTTGCTGTTTTATGACGTTCAAATAAATCTCAACAGTATGGTGGTATAATGTATTTTTGGCCAACTATACCTATTTTTAATGACATTTGATTGGATTGAAAAGTGGGGCCCTATGTGGGTCCCCAGTGGTACCTTAGGCTAAGCTGCCAAACAAGCAGCCAATGGAATTGATATTATCCGTTGACGAAATATAGCTGTGGGTTATGATCCTGTAAATAAAAAGAGAGCTCTGTTGTTTCTATAAAAAATATTTATTATGCAGTAAAATCAACACTAGCACTCTCGTTGACATTAAAAGCCGCGAACGAATTTTATCCTCACATTACACGTGCTAGGTGCACAAGCAAAACTAAAACTCAAAACTGTAGTCTACTAAAATAATATGCCCTACATACGCCAAATTTCTGAGATCATTTTCAATTAAAACAAGAGCATATTCATCTGCCTTTGCCATTTGTTGAAAGAGGCACTAAGGCATTTTCACACAACATTATTAATCTCTTTTTGAAGCGGATTTAATAAGTTTTATCCTTGAGGTGCACGCGTGTTCTAAATCGCAGGATCCAAAAGTCCTATTCTGTTTCGCCGAAAACAAAGTTTCGTCCATTTTCGAAACGCATGAGTCCATATAAACCCATTATTCGATAAGTTATAATGCAACGAAAGAAGGACCTATGTATAGCTGGGCAGCATACCGTTAAACTGTAAATCGTTAATTAACGAAGTTAAGATATTGTTTAACGATTTAACCTTGGTTAGTTAGTTAACTTTAGTTTCGAAACTCACTTCACTTATGCCACGAAACGTTAATATCACTTCAAGGTTGATTGGATGTCGCTTTCGACGTGAATTTGGACGCCTGAGTGAGGTCGAGTTCGAGTTTGGATTTTTACGGAATCGTTCATCAGTACAGTATTTTGTATTATTCACATTAGACTCGCTCACGTGAACAGAGCTACTGATTGACGGTTACGGATTTATTATTATTGTTAAGGCTAAAATAACAGTGATACTCCTTATCTTTGCACTGCAGAGTTACAGACTCTTTAATTATATTTATAAAAATTGTAATTTAGTGACTTTTTCGTATTTACTATTATATTTTAATATTTTTGTAATGACTCTTTGTGACAGAAATAAATATCGGGTTGGCTAATAAGTCATGAGCGTTTTAATTTTAATTTTCTAGAAATTTTGAGTAGGGTCGAGAACGTTCTATGGCGGGGGGTATATAAAGAGCGAGTCGTGGTCATGCACGCCAGTAATACTTCGAATTGCGTTAACTTCAACGAAAAAAATAATGATATTAAAACCTATGTCCTATATTGTTTATTGTATAGTACCAATCTGGTTATTCCGCTGCACAACCTGCACGTAATGCTAATGGGTAGCTCATAACGCAGTCTCCGAGCAACAGCAAAGCGGTGGTTCTAACGATTGCGCAGTGGAGACTATTCCTTGATAGATCAACCAACGTCTGGGCGTCCAATAGAAATAAATAAACTGAAGACGTTAATTGAAGATTGTAGAGCTTGGTTATTATGGTTCTTGATTTACAATCAACTGCTTGCACACTTTTCGTTAAATAAATTACTTCACAAAAATCAGTTTGCCTTTAGCAGAGATAAATGTACCACAGACGCTGGAATTGCACTTCTGAGACATATCTATGATGCTTGGGAGGATAAACAAATTGCTATCGGCATTTTTTGCGATCTGTCAAAAGCATTTGACTGCGTTAGTCATGAAACACTGTTGGGGAAATTAGAGCATTATGGTATGACGAAAAATTCACTTAATCTAATAAAATCATATCTTTCTGCTAAAATTCAAATAGTAGTAATTAATGAAGCGAAATCTGCAGAGGCAGCGGTTACTATGGGCGTACCTCAGGGATCGGTATTACCTCACCTTTCTATTCCTTATTGTTTAAAGTGTTGGTAGAATCGACAAAGTTCCTTGGTATTACACTAGATTCCCGACTGCAATGGGATCCTCATATTGATAGCCCGTCAAGTAGACTGAGTTCTGCAGCTTTTGCTGTTAAGAAAATTAGACTCTTGACAAATGTTGAAACGGCAAGATTGGTATATTTTAGTTATTTTCATAGTGTAATGACATATGGTATATTGTTGCGGGGTTCTGCGGCTAGCATTCAGGATATTTTTATTCTACAAAAGAGAGCTGTCCGTGCTATATATATCTACGGTCTAGGGAATCTCAGAGAAATATTTAAAGAAATAAATATTATGACTGTTGCCTCTCAATACATCTATGATAATATTATGTACACAAGAAAACATTACGATACAAGAAAAAAAAAACTTGCCGTTCCAAGCTTCAGACTTCAGACAAAAAACCAGAGGATCATTTCTGAGTAAATGTATTACTGTTTCAATAAAGTTCCACAAGATGTAATTGACCTATCCATAAATAAATTTAAAATTCATGAAAGAATATACCTATGAGTAAAGGCTATTATAAAGTTGATGATTACGGACCGCAATGCATGGAATTCATAGCCTTCGCTTTATTCTATAACGACTAATTATAGGTATGTACCAACCTATGTGCTACAGACTTTGAAACTTGTATTTATTATTGTTCAATATATTTACTATTTTGGTAATGACATTATTTATGTAAATGTCATCACTTGTGTTAAAGAGCTGTTAAGTTTCTTTCGCTTGTTCTTCTTGTCAGCTAAAAGACGTCCTGAACAAGTGGTAGGGGATAAAATATTTTTGGACGATTTAAAAGTGCTTGTAACAAGCTTACTTGAATAAAACATTTTCATTTCATTCAAATCAAAGGAAAGAATGTAGTTCGTTACGACTTTAAATGTTACGTAATTCCTTAAATCGCTATATATATAAATATGTACAAACCTTGTCTTGACACACATAAAAAAAAAAACAATCATCCAAGTTGGTGCAGTCATTGATGTTATGCGCGTTCATACATTTCTGCGATTCATATATATTATATCTAGATGAACGTTACGCCGTCTTGTTAATCGACCATCGGCCGTTATGTTGATTTTTTTTAAATAATGTAATGTAACGACGCCGTCCATTTAAAAGGCTAGTCGTCAATCATATTATTACCAGGATTATTTTTACCAGGGGCCTAATTGTCTATTTAAAAAGTGTCACAATCCCTTCAATATATAGCAATTGTTTTAGCGATTTATGGAATATGTAACTTTTAAAGTTGCAATAGCTTTTGGAACAAATGATGATTTAAATGCAGTTTGCATTTGACATTACTCGATAGCTCTTCAAGCATTTATCGCTTTGCTTTAATAATTCCAACTAACTATATTTTTCAAAAAAACATCACGGTCTCAATTGCTGTCACATGTTAAGTAATCGTCGCGTGAAGTTCATGAATATCTTTCAAATGTCATATTTAAAGGGATTGCGATAGATTTTAAAATTACAATAAGGCCCCAGTTGCCTACGACATCGATGCCACAGTACCGAGTATAGAGCATTATATACTTCATGAAATATTTCTCTTTAGAAGTGTAAATGAAAGACATTGGATTAACACATTTTACATATATTTTACTGACAATATTTACACAATAATTTTAGTGACCACACTTATTGAGCTAGGCATTTCTGAAATGTGCATCAAGTTTACTGTAATGTAATCGAATTACATTACAGATAAGCTAATTTTAAGAAATTTGGCAGGATTTTGATCGACAAAGTCATGTTCCAAATATACATTTGCTAAAAATACTAATATTGGATGGTAAACACAACCATTACATAAAATATAGTATAAATATTAAAACACAGTATTGTATAACATATAACAATTATTATATAATCCAAATAAATATGTACACGGCAACAAATCTATGACATGTATTTAGAATGGAAAAAATTCTAACAAAGATAGTAGTAGTAGGTAGAATAAATTACAATAATTACAGTAATTTCAATAATTTGGCAAAATTGTCATTCTTTTTTACTAATTTGGCACACACAACATTTCATTTAATTAGCCTAGATTTTACAGTGTGTCTTTTTAGCAATAAATAAATAAATTTATTTAATCTATAGGAATATACATTCAAATTAAGTTAGTGACTGTCTTTTTAGTATATCAAATCTTGTATAATCAGTACAAAGTTCTAGTTTCAAAACGAATCATAAAATTTTGCTAAATAAGTACATTTCCTATATAAAATGCGTAGTGTCGAGCATTTTGTTACTGTTTCTATATGCGATTAAAAAGCGACCAGACACTTAATTAAAATAGGATATAAAAAAATGTAAAATGTATTTTTAAAAATTACTATGCACCAGGCATATTTGTTAAATACATTGTGTATTGTGTTTATAAGATAATGGGATAGTTAACTATAAAAGCCATAGAAGTAACCCATGAAAGTTTTAAATGTGATTTAAGTAGTATGTAGCTTTTGAAGATCTCCTAAGCTTCAGAACGGTCTATTAAAAGCGGCTTCATACGAAGTCTTGCTTTGAGATCGAAAATGAGGCATGACATCGACGGAACTTTGTTCAAATAAGCATCACACTTCACTGCACTAAAGCTAACTCCTATTTTTTAGTTCTCTACAAAACGTTCGCTTATGTCCCATTCACTGGTTTTACACTATTTTAAGTATCACATGTCCTTCTTTTTCTCTTCACGTTTAATGAGACACTTATATATTTGCTGCCTGCTTGCACACTACACATAGTCATTTGTACCCGGTTTATTGAGTGGTTCTTGGGCCTGGAAAGAGAGAAAAAAATTTTTTATTGTGCCAATACACTGGTCATGAACGGTCATATTAATCGTAGGGTGTATCGACAGTCGAGTAAGTATCAAAAAAACTGTTTGGGGACAAGTTATAATTTCGTAAACCGACATCTGTGGACAAAAAAATAACCTCTTATTAGTCGTCAAGCGCAGCGCTGCACGTCATAGAGCTTCAATGAAGTTAAAAAAACCGACGAAACGTTTAAGGAAAAAGTGTGTTTTATTTGATTGATCCTCTATGACGTAACAGTTCACCTCGGCGACGTATTGCAAGGATCTTTTTATAACGGAATGTCACTGCTATAGAGCAACGAATCATAGCTTTGATCATTTTGTTAAAACTCTAGATATTATGATTGTATGAGAGTACGTATAATATTTTCCGACATAAAAATTACAAGCCATATAAGTCGCTTATTATTTGTCATCAGTCATAGGAATATTCCTGACATTGTTATTAAAAAACAAAACACTTGAAGTAGATTAATGTCTTATATCAGATAATTTATCCGGTGGTGCAAAATTGACATTTAATCGTTGTTTAAGTGCAAGTAGCTTGCAGGTGCATCACGATCACCTACTAGGTAATTTATTTTTAAATGAAGGCGAGTAAGTGCTAATTTACTAGGGGAAAAAAAAAAGTAAAAGCAGTTTGTCCTTAAACGCAGTGTTCATAGACATAACTACAGCGTATTGCTTTTACGGTTAAGCGTAATAATGCATATTTCTCAATAGCAACTTATTTGCAATTGGTGTAAATTATACAAATGTGGAAACGTCCAAATAAAACTACGTAAATACTACACTATAACGGGAATATAATTGTCTAAACTACACACCAAACTTACCATATTGAAATAGCCCTCGCATGTTAATGCATGAAAACATAAAATTTTTGGCAGTAAATTATCGTTCTAAGATAAAGCCGAAAGGTACATATCGTAAAAGAACCAAACAATAATCTAATTTTAAAGGGACTATTTACAGCATTATACACCTACCATTCAACCAATAGTACGATTTGGCGACTATTTCTTAATACTGATGCGGTAAAAATGTTGGCACATTTAATTGCCCGAATTCTTAATATCTAAATGAAAATATTTTCTATATAAATCCCTTAAAATAATGTAGTAAATATAACTCTAAGTACATCAAGTTTAAAATGTCTTAGGCAGACCTTAATATCATTATAATAAAATACCCTAAATGTGTCTATTTTGTTTATTTACAAAATTTGGCCAAGTGGTTTCCTCTGGGGTCTTATAACTTTTCATTGTACACGACAACTATAGTATAGAAGTGATGTTTCCAAAATAAATATTTATAGTTTTTATTTTTTTGTAAAAAATATATGACGATTAAGATCTACGAAAGTTTGGTGAGACTGAAACTCACTTAAAATTAATTGGCTAGTTTGAGGGGAGTTCGATATTGAGCGACTTATCTTAAACTGTTTTGTATGTTTAAAGTGCATTCCATTGCGGTTAATGCTCTCACCTCTTCTGCCACGGTGCTTGGGTACAGCTTCGTTCCCGGGGCGGAACCATTTTTTTCTATTGCGAATTGGTTCTCCGTAGTCTTGTGGTAGACAGGGTTGTCGAAGTTCATAGATCTCACGTTGCGATGCACGTAATGACGGTAGACGAGCACAGCGATCTGAATAATAAAAAAAAAACATATACCAAACCAGTTACGGGCGGTCTCCGTTCTTGTATACTTGGATGTCGCGGAATGCAAGTATCTCCGTGAACCGACCGAGAGACTTGATTATACCGAAGGGATACGTAATCTGAAAAATGAGACTCCAGAATAAACTATTCAAAATTTATAAACTAATAAGTGCCTACCATAAAATCTATTAACCGGAACTTTTGATACTAATGTTAAACAGCAAATTGCCTATGCCATTATCGCCATTAGGGATTGCCTATAATTCTACATCCAATGTTATAATATCCGCTTTGGATCGGTGGTTTGGTTTGATTGAATCAGCAAGCCAAGTTTGGACATGTCCGTGAACAGTGGAACAATTCCATTACTGTTTGTTTTTATCATTGATTTCAATTAAACGGCTTTACTGTGATGTAACCAGACAATTAAATCATTGATGACAATGCACTAACATCAATGAATAAAGTGGGCAATGAGACTAGAACGTTCCACAAAATTCTCGTACTGTTCAACGGCAATATTTCATGAGATGTTTATATTGTTCTAAACGAATCTTTACATTAAGTAGATTTTTAACGCTCATAAAATTAATAGAAAATAAATAAAAACCTCCTTTTCATATATTTATGTTTATTGTTGAGCTAATGTCTATTAAGTTCCTGTTTGTGACAAAAAGTCGAGTCAATTGCTTGCACACGTGCATGGACCCGAGGTATCAAAACTAGTCCGAGAAATTTCTCGAAAACGATATACCACAGCAGTGCTAAATTACTTTCTTAGTATCGCCGTACGATACATGACGCCATGATTGTTGAAATGTTTGCATTGGACACACTACCGTAGTCATAACATTTCATTACATTATTGAATACACAGTTGAAAATCATGAGACTTTTTTCTTTTGTTTCATCAACTTTGTTTCAAGTAATAATAGAATGCGAAGTGTATAATAGAATGGCGCTTCAATTCCACTGTTTTACATAGTTCTTGTTACTAGATCACAAAATAACCAACATGTCTGTCATCATTGTATTGTCAAAAAAATATTGCACTTATAATATTCGCTCGTTATGTGCTAATACTAGAGACAGTACAATTAACAGAAGACCAGGTTATTTATATAACTAAGTCCTTGTGATCGAAGGAGACGGAATCTTCGAAACGTTCTGATATTTGTGTAGAAAAACATCTTCAGTGTAAACATATTTTTTTCTGTTGATGCTCTATTTCAAATCTAAAACTACTTCAGCTCTGGAGATATGAGAATTATTTAGACGATCGTAATCTTAGGTGACAAAAATAATTAGCTCATAATTACTTAAATCCAAAGTGCTTCAAATTCAAATTCCAAACCAAGTTTGTTTTTATTTTCTAAGAATATATGTGGTATTTATTTATGGTTTTTTTTCTAAGAATACTAGTATACTATAACAAAATATTCTTAAATGTAAATTTACAATACGCACCAGTCCACCTAAAAGTATGACCACAGTGATGACACCGACGACGATGCCGGCTACCATGCCTGCATCACGGCCGCTAGTTGAGATTCCTGTGCCAGTCTTAGGCGTTTCAGGGACACCTGGAATTAAAAAATAATATATTTGTTTTATTTTTTTATACACGTAAAATAAATTGGCATATTTTTTTGTAAATTTGCAAAAGCATTATTAAGTAGAACTTCATTTAAGGTACTAAAGTACAGGTTAACAATTGTGTTGTTATGAAATTGTTAGAAACACTTGGTTCACAACAAAAAAAAAAGCCATCCACCACCATGAAAAATCACCCAAGGAAACGGAGTGGAGAAGTTAAGAATGAGAAAAATAAAGACCATATACGCATAATATTTAACCTGCTAATTTTATGATTTTATTTTGACAAAACTATCTTTTGAATAATTAATCTTGAATAAAAATTATATATGGATAATCTTAAAGTTTTAGGATTGTTGTTTATTTAGGTTAGGCGACTAAATCATCAACCATTTTGAGTTACATTATTTTGGTTTGCTGTAATTTGAAAATGCAAGATAATCTTACAAATTCCTTTTTCAACGTGTATTTTCTAGAACTTAAATCTGACTGTAGACATACTATAAATGCTCGCGTTCTATTTGTAGAGACTATTAATGTAACATGCCAACTAACCGATCGACAAATTAAACTAACTCTTATTGCAACATGTGTCATTACAACCTACTCGAATTTAATTTCATTTAGTCCCTAACAGATTGTTATTAATGTATTATTTAAAGCAGTTACATAAAAAAAAGATAACAGGGAGTTATAATATTTAAAGTTGAATGACGGTTCAACAGTCGAACAAAATGGAACTGTTATAATTACAATGACAATAGAATTGTCATTATTATGTAAAATGCAGTACCGTCTATTCAGTTTAATATTAAACATTTCAATGTTTGTTTCAACATTATACATATTAAACCAAAACTTATGCAGTTTAGTAACGTGTTAGTATATTACATTACATGCACCCAGTTCAATACGAATCTGTGTGTCTTCTAAAATTAAAAGTGCGGTTGTTATTTTTTGTTTTGAAAAGTCGATACTTTACCCTCGTGTATATCGTTGAGAATTTCTGGTAAATATGTAAGGGTCTTTCCAAATTTGTAATGAGATTCTGTGAATTTTCCGTCAACTGTGTCTGGTATTCGTTCCAGAGCAACGCCTTCTTGATACAGATCTATAAACGGTTGGTTTTGATTGATTGAGGCTTCTTTATCCTTCTCCCAATACAACATCATTGGCTCCTTGATACCGGCCGACAATGCTTCTTGCCTGGGCGCTTCAGGAGTCGTCGTTTCACCTTTGAATGCCGCACGTACAGATTTCGCGAGAAGGCTTACAAGCCTTTCTCCTCGTTTATCCACCATATGTTAAGGCAATTTTCCTTGATAATTCGCTGACGAATAATCAATTTACTCAACCAATAGTATTTGTTTAGCATGCCCTGTAAATCAGTCAATGATTCCCAATATGAAGACACACAGATACTTTCAAACATTCACAATGATGTTGGATGTTAGTAAAGAATAATTGTTAGTAATGATTAATGAATTTATTGTCCAATTATATAGATCTTGCTTTATCTTATCTGATATGATGGAAACCTCAACCATTTGTAAGTGTAAAGCAATCAACAACTTTAAAGCATTTCAGTTGAATTGATCTTCCATGATTGATAAAACAGTAAGCTTAATAAATGATTATGAGGATCACTAATTCTGACTCAGAAAGAGAGTACATTCACTTTCGTTATCTGAGAATGTCTAACCTCAAATGCTCTAAAGTTGTTACATAGCACGCTTAGTAAATTGGGAAGGAAACACAGTTCAAGAAACACCACTTATCCATTTTAATACTCACTGGTAACAGATTTTTCTTCATTTATAATAGTAGTTTTTGTACCAATATTCGCTTTTTGCACTTCCACATCTTGTTCCGAATCTGTAGATTTATTATAAAAAATAACCTTAGCGAAATATTCCAAAATGTATTTCTTGATGTGATTTATGGCTAGGTTAAGTTACGAAATCCAAGGTAAATACTAAAATTATTTTAACTGGTATGCACTGACGAGATGCGTGCAGTGTCGCGCGTGTTACGACACGGAATAAAACTAAGCCAGGTTGGAACCGAAAAACTGCTCGCGCGCCATTGACGTACCACCACGGCTTCGCCCCGTCAAATTAACTGGACGCGATCCGGCTACCGATATGGTTTCTATGATCATAAGGTTAAATATAATTTACGTAGATTTGTTAATAAAAACAAATTTCATTATATGTTTTTTTTTTAAATTTTCTTTATCTTTTAATACAATAAGAATTTTAAATTCTAAATAATTTTTCAAGATATTTCAGAATTTTTAACATTTAATTTGATCTGCAATCGTTACGATATCTACTTCAGTTTTATTTTTTTTATAATACCGACATTTATTTCAAAAACTAAGCTTCAGTACGTAGAGATAAGGTTTTTTTATTTAAACATGTGCTAGCGTCGTGCCGGATCGCGCGAGGATTGACTAACAAAAGGTGGCGTGATGTCGTGACGTCACCTCACCTTATGTTCGCCAACCGCCGCTGCAACGGGCTAGCTGACTGTCAAATCAATGTGCCGTTTTAAACATTCCGATACATCTCGGTCGATTTGAATGAATTAAGGGCGTTGCGTTCTAATCGTTTAAAAAAAATCATAGTGATATTCAAAATCAAAAATTTCATCACATTGTTTTTGTGAATACTTATAATTGAAAGTTTGCCGTGATTTCCGATATTTATTTCCAATTCCAGACATCTGTTGAGACGCGTGCGTATAATAAACGATAAGAATAAAAATACACTAGCGATCTAAAATTATTATTCTCGTATTAAGATAGCGCTTTAAAATAATAATGAATGAGTAAGTTTTACTATTAATTTTGAGTAATATAGATAAGATAGAGGGCGTGGTATGTTCCTCGCGTACTCAAGGACGTATGAGTACGAAGCGAGTCTGTAATTTAAAACATCGTTCGATGTAGCGTCATCGGATGACGTGTCGATTACGCGATATGGGCTATAGTACATCTATGGAAAAATAAAACACTTTAGCGTGATGTAGCAAATACAACTCGAACGATGAATCAATATTAGTCGTTTCGTTATTTCATCATTCTTATTTTTCTGATGATGACCGAAACCCGTACTTTTTTCCTAGAATGTTTGTAAGTCGCAATGGACACCCAAAATATTTATACGGTTTGGTTGGAGTGGATGGAGAATAATCCTGTCCTGGTTTCGTAAGTTGACTCATAAGTGGGTCTCTAATCCTATCCTTGTTTATTAGAGATTTTGAATATTTAGTTCTCCGTTAATCGCATTAGATAGGTACAGTTATCACCAGAGTTAAGTATACTTTATTAAGAACGTGTGATTTTATAGGTATTTCTCTTGTTTTTATAGATGTGTTCGAAACATAACTATATCCTATAATTACAGAATTCCCTTCCTATTACTCTCAGAAGGTTTATCAAAGGTTTATTAAAAGTCAAAGCAAAACAATCAACTTGATTGCTTTAAAAATCCTAACGTGTAACGAATAAAGATATATAAAACATATATCTCTGAATTTGTAAATATTACGTTATGAATTAATAGATAATTGAAATGCGATAGCCTCTTTATTACCTATTTTTAGGATAAAAATAAAATGTAAGTTATGTTGCTTATAAACTACAAAATACTTTACGTTGTTTATTTTGATACCGAGGACACATCTTTAGAGTGTGTTACAAACTGCATACCTCAACTCCACATGAATGAAGGTTATAAGTATATCGATACATTAGAAAGTAACTTTACGAGCAGTTAAGAGACATAATGAATCGTATTAAACATTTCAATTATTCGCATGTATAATTTGCTTATGCATGTCTCAATACTTTTATTCGACTCAATCAGTAGTCATGTCAAGGTATCAGGTGGAACCCACATCAACAACCTCAACTGCTGGATAAAGGTCTCCCAAACTCAACTGTTGGACAAAAGTTTCCCCTAAAAATCGACACGACTTGACTCGTCGTGGTAACATTGATACTTTTCTCACCAACGACATCTTGCGAACAGACTTTTCATCTTTTCTCCGGTGTTTCTCCTAAATGTGCGTGGTCATCATGCGTATCAATAAATCTAAATAAATGGCATTCCAATTCTCATGGCATGTTAAATTCTTTTAACTTTGTCCAGTCTCCCTTCGTATTAGGAGCTATTCAATTGAAAAGGTCGACTTCTACCAATGATTGATGAGTACAAACGTCTTTTTTATTGATCACAATCAATTGTATTCCAATCAACGGTTGAACGAGCCCAACAAGGTACTTCTGGTTCTATGAATGTACTTATTTCAAATTAAACGTTCTACTACTAAAAATGAAAACAACTAGAACTTTTTTCTTGAGCCGCTGGCATGAAATCTAGTATATCGATGCTCTATAAACTCTTATAAATATATAAAAAAGCCCTCATATATTAGTATTTGGAATCCAAAATAAATCTATTTAGTTACTTTTAATCTTTCGCCGCCTACCCAAGTTTGATAAACTCTGGATTTAGAGGACTATCATAAAAAAATGTAGTATAATAATTATAACCGATCAAAAATGGATTCGGTTCCAAAAAATCGGGAACAGACACATGTTTCAAAATCCTTAGGGTATGTACTTATAAAAGACTTCTCGTAAATAATATATTTTACACAAAAAATTGCATGCACTAATAAATGACTTTATTTCTACACCGTTTTATCATACCTATAGGTTGCAAAGCGCATTTTTTAGCGTACATAAATTGTTCAATGAGCTCCAATTCAAGAACGTGCATTTTCTAAATTACATAGAATTGTCTTCGTTACAATAATGCTCAATTGACATGCATACCTGCATATGCATGCAATAGACCCAATGTTAGATATTTAACATAAGTAAAGATAGATAACTAAATTTTCTTTGTTTTTTTTTTTTAACAAATGTAAATGATGACACCTGAAAAATATTCTTTTAATTATTTTAACTAGTTTTTTTTTCTATACTGTCAATTTTACAGTCCCCTATTAATAAATTATTCAGATTTTTTTTTTATATTTGTGTTTACATATCCGAAGTATTTTAACGTCAAATTTGATGACGGTAGGTAATCATTACCATATAGGATAATAATATTATTATTTATTCCGTAAGGGCAATAACCTAAACAGTTTCATTTACAAAAAATAAATGTACCTTGTAAAAATCTAGAAAATCATTATTCAGATTTATTCACTCAGATTCTCACATTATTAATAATTATAACTGAACAATAATATAAATTATTTACACCGTATTTAATTTCTTCATAGTTAAACTTTTTGAAACAAAACAAAATCAAGATATACCGTAATTACTTACTGATAAAATCATTACTCAAGGCTAAATACATCATGGCTAAAATGTACCTATATTACTAAACGTATGTGTAGGATTTAGAACTTGCTTATATCAGTTTTTATTGTATAAAGTAGTCTCATGGACGTAGCAAAAGATCCTAGTTCGCTCTGGCATCCTGCTAGCATATCTTAGAATATGAATTATTCACTTTGCACGTCAGTTGCAAAAGTAAGTAGATGATAATCGTCGTAACCGTGACAAAATTGTGCAAGAGCTTTCGAAAGCTTGATATTTCAGTATGTTGAAGTACTGAGGGTCCTTCACTAAAATTAGCGTTATACTTAGTCTTAACATAAAAAAGGAGAATAACTAGTTAGGTTGCGCAATCGTAAAACATCGCGACCAAGCAGATCTCAGGAGTTGGAGTAAAAAAGAGCTTCGAAAAAGAGTTTCGTAATGGTTGATAGTTCAATTATTAGTTGTTATTTAATAAAAAACATTCAGACAAATTTAATAGAACAAAATTTTCAGCAATCTTGGCAAAGATGGTTTCGTACTTCTGCACTGGGCACTGAGTGATTTGCCCTAAGTATTTCAACATACTGAAAAATCAAGCTTTCGAATGTTCTTGCACATTTCTGTCATGAGCTCTTCATCTATAAAATAATATACGCAATATCCAAAGAGTACTTACTGTCTTCGACGCACATCTGATTATCTGGCAGCAGTCTGAGGCCATTGGGGCACGCGCACGATACGCGAGGCGAATGAGGTCCTATCCTGGGAGCTGGCAAGCAGAGGTGAGAGCAGTGGCCGTTAACAGCTGCACAGTGGTTGACCCCATCAGGTTGACGATATGGATGATACACGTGGATCACCATAGGGTTCTGGAGCTACACAAAGAAGATAGTACTCTTTATATTAGTCTGCGTTTACACATAGTGTTGCAAGGTTTCTTTTTTAGGATATCAATTTACAATCAAGTATTGCGTTCTACAATGTTTAGCATTTAAGTAAACTTTAATTTAGGACCTAACTTGTACGCCCTAAATAGGGCATAGCAAAATCAAACGGCCGCACTCTTTTTCCTGTTTTTGTTCTATTTCCTGTTTGTAGTGTGAACTCAAACTGGTATACAGGATAAATAATAACATCAAATATATTACTTTAGAATCAAAAACAAAATTATTTATTCAGTTTAGGCTGTTACAAGCACTTGTGAAAGTCGAGAGCTACGGCATCGGTTCGTAAATCTACGGCGGAAGACCTTGTACCGAGAAGAACCGGCAAGAAACTCGGCAAGAGCTGCTTTTTTCTCCCTGTTTAATTTCATACAGAGCGTCAAGATTAAGAGTCTAAAAAATTAGAATCTAAGTAATATATTTAATGTTATCAAAGTCTTAGATTCTAAACTAAATATGTTAATATTTTAACATCATGTTAACATCTTCAAAGAAATATTCGCTATTCTTATATCTATTGTCAGATTTCTTGACATTTTTGTAGGTGCGACCTTTTAGTTTGTTTACCTGTTTGAGTTTATTTTGAGTAAATACTCGGAAGTATATGAAATATAGAAACCTACTTCCGTGTGCCCATGTACACATTCGTCAACAAAAAAACAATGGAGATTCCTATGTAACAAACCTCCTAAGAGTTTACTATTAATCTAATTTCTAAGTTAAAAACAAGACACAGCTAGCCTAAACCGCTGGTCGTAGAGACATGAAATTTCAAAGGGTACATAGGTACATCTTATTACGTATGGGTTTCACGAAATAAATTTCTTTAATTTGAATAATCAGGTGAAATTAACGGAAAATTAAAACTTTATTAGGATGACGAAACCTTAATGTATCTTTGGGAATTTCGTTTTCGTTTTTTTCCTTTATTAGAGGAAAATTACGGAAAACGATTACCATAATTTGTATTAACCATTATATCCATTTATCAATATAATTATGAATCTATAATTCTACATGTATCTTTAAAGAAGCAAAACTGTAAAGATACTTTTTTTTATTTATGACCATATTATTCACATGAAATTTTTGCGGGAGATTAAGAAGGTGCTAAAATCAATAGCGCCATTTTATTGTGAAAAAAACTCATAAGAAAATAATTTAAAAGAAGGAAGCTAGGTATATTAAAAATATTATAAACAAGGGTGCTACTTAATTTGACAGCTGTTTTAACTTTAATGAACATTTATAAGTGAGGATTGTTGTTGATGAATTGCTTAGCAGTCTCTAATTTTAATCAACGTTTATAAGGTTCATTATGTCTTAAGGAATGGTGCAAATATGACGGAATATGTGTCTAATATACAATGTTAATATTAGTTAAAACGAAACGGGTTAGCTGTCGAGTATGCGTCGAGTGTGATTTTTTTGTCAGATAAACATCGACCATAAGGATTATTTTCGGGATAAAAAATTGAAATCATAAACAACGTTATTTTTGACTTAATACATCAGAACAAAAAAAAAGGAAAAGGTCTCAATTCGTCTATAATATAGGTAGGGGAAACGGTATAGTTATTGGCCCTCAGATAGTAATTGGCCAATTAAATTTAATTATTAAAAAACTACCAACTAAGCTAACAAAGGTAAGATACAGAAAGTTTATGTTGGCAACACTGTTACTAACTGTCAAATAACGCCAAAAAAGTTTTGTTAGGTGTAACGGTCTTTTTGTGATTTGTGATTTTGTGGCACTGGAGCAAAAATAAGTAAGTTTAATTTAAATTTTGTAAGACATTAGATATTTTAAGTATGATAATTTTAGAAACATGAATGTAGTAAAGTAACTGAAAACCTATAAAATATGTAGTTTGTATGTTTAATTAGCGGATTTAAGGTGTGATATAAGAAAAAATTGATTATAACCTAAAATATTGTTATGGCCAATAACTGTCACTGTATTTTTTTCAATTTATAGTAATTGGCCTCTTATGCCCATTACTATATTTATTCTATACTTAGTAAAGAGCGTTTCTAATAGAGAGTTATCGTCTTATTTTTAAAATTATGCGGCCAGTTCAATCTCCATATATTTCAGAGGACTGTAAATAGTTATTGGCCTAGGCCAATTACTGTGCCACTTACATTACTAACCAATACAAAAATATGCCAATTACTGTGTAACTTTTTACGTATTTTTTAAAATTCAATGATCGTTTTTTTCTATTCCAATAGGTAGACTGGTAAAAAACACACCATGCCAAAAAAACCCCAATACACCAAAGAAGCTCTTGATGAGGCATTGGAAAAAATTAATGACAAAACGATGTCTTTGAGAGCAGTTGTAAAGAAGTACAATATTCCAAGAGCAACTCTACAGTTCAAATTAAGGAATCCTACTTCGAGATCTCAATTTGGGCCAATGCCATACTTAACTTATGAAGAGGAAGATACAATTAAAAACTGGTTAGTCAGAATGTCTCGCAAAGGCTTTCCGAGAAAAGCAGATGATGTTCTCGATACTGTTCAAAAATTTTTGACTGCAAATCCACGCGATACTCCGTTTAATAACAATAGGCCTGGTCAAGGCTGGCTGAGAGCTTTTTTAAAACGTCATCCCGATATCAGTCAAAGAACCAGTGAGGGCGTTTCTAAAGCTAGTGCCTGCGTGGCTGAGAGCGATATAAAAAAATGGTTCGCAGAAATTAAGGATTATTTTACTACTGAAAATCTATTGGAGGCCATTCAAGATCCACAACGTGTTTTTAACGCTGATGAAACAGGTTTTCAGCTTTGTCCTTCTACAGGTAGAGTTCTTGCAGCTAAAGGTGATAAAAATGTTTATGCCGTCGAACAAGGAAACACCAAAGAAAATATCACATTACTGTTCACATTTTCTGCTGATGGAAGAACATGTCCTCCGTTAATAGTATTTCCTTACAAACGACTCCCGGAAAAAATTGCGTCGTCGGTGCCGCCACATTGGGGTATCGGACGGAGTGATACAGGATGGATGACTGCAGATGTTTTTAATCAGTTTGTCACTGACATATTGGCGCCATACCTTGAGGAAAACAACATCAGTAAACCAGTTATCCTATTTATCGATGGACACAAAAGTCACATTACTTTACAGCTCAGTTTAACGTGTAAGGAACTAGGAATCGAAGTTGTTGCTCTTTATCCTAACACTACTCGTATTACTCAACCGGCAGATGTATCAATATTTGGGCCAATCAAGAATATGTATCGCAAAGCAGTTCGGCAATTTCAAGCAGAAAACGTGGGAGAGGCTGTGACAAAGTTAAATATTGCTAAGATTTTAAAAACAGTCGTTGATAATTTAAAGTCTGATAGTATAATCAATGGATTTAGAACGTGTGGGCTATGTCCTTTTAACGAGAATGCTATTGATTACTCTAAATGTTTAGCTGCAGAAAAATCTGATGAAGCCGCCAATATCGATAATAAGCATATGACTATAAAAGACTTCAAAAATATTGTAGGAGTAGATATGATCAACAAGTTGAAAGAACTGCAATCTAAAGGTACATCTTTAAACGATAAATCTCCTACACTATACAAATTGTGGTGCTTTTTTCAAAGTGATTATCCTCAGAATGAATCAAACAGTGTTGAAATACAGACTGCAAATAATATAACCACTAATGTAAATTTTTCCTGCGAAGATAATGTGACAAAAGTACAAATTACTATGACACCCACTAAAACTCCTGTAGATTTGACCACGCCTAGTACCTCATATGATACTTCTTTTATCAGAAAATCAATAAATGATTACCTATCAAATGCGCCGGAAAATAAACGGAAATTCGTCAGAAACATAGAAAAAAAGCCGTTTGTCATTACATCCGAAAAGTTTAGAGCAGCTATTGAGAAAAAGGAAATTGAAAAGCAACAAAAAGAGAATGAAAAAATAGAAAGGAAAAGAAAAAGAGAAGAACAAGCAACCGCAAAGAAAGAACTTGCTCTTATGAAGACAAAAAAAGGTAAAGGTGTAGGGAAGAAAACAAAAAAGGAAAACCTAAGTGATGGATACGACAAAAAAAATGAAACGATTGAAATTAAAAATTTAAATGATGCCAATGAGGTAAACGAAAACAAGGAAATGAAAGGTGAAGAATGTAGTGATGGAAAAGATAATTTAAATAAAGATAGAAATAAACCAAAGATATTACAAAACCTTTTAGTAGTGACCTGTGATTCATGCCATCGTTTAGCAGTTAAACATAAGTCCTTATTATGTAGCTCTTGTCAGAAATCATACCATCCTCAGTGCATTCCTAATAAACACCAGGAACACATTCCGGATCAAGATGAGCTTTCTGATTTTATATGCCATAAATGTTATTTGTTACACGATGATTCTGAGTTGTCTGAGGATGAGAGTACTCAAGAGGATATAGGTATATTTTAATTATTGAAAATGATTATTTTTGATGTTTAAATTTATTTTATTTTATGTTTCAAAGATGGCTAATTACTGTACGATCTCAAGGCCAATAACTGCTATAGTGCGGCCAATAACTGTAAAATTTATATTTTTGTTTTTAATTTGATTTTATTTAGACAATATATTAAAATAATGTAGGTAAACAAAGAAAGTTAATAAATACAGTTCTATAGATTCCGTGAAACAACTTTTTATTTATTACAAATATTTATTTATTTTTTTACTTCCCGCTTTCTACATTGAAGTCGCTTAACTGGCCAATAACTATACCGTTTCCCCTACATAAATATATTTTTCAACGGATTTTTTTTTAAATACTGATAATATTGACACATGATAAATGTATCTCACTGGTGCAGGCAGTGTGATATTACGAAAATTTATAATTGAAGATTGGCCACGTCATTCTGTATTGTTTTCTTTACCTTAATTTAAAATAACATTTGAAATTAATATGTATGAACATTTACACAAACCAGTTGTCATCCTAGTAAATAAATTACAGTAGAAATACTCACAGTATGGGTAGAGGTGATGGCCTCGACATCTTTCCCGTTGAATTTGTTGGCGCGATACACAGCGGTCTTGTCCCAGTCGGTCCAGTACACCCAGTCTTCAAAAGTGGTAATGGAAAACGGATGTCGGAGAACGTCCGTTGAGTAGAGTATGACCCGACGCGCGGTGCCGTCGTAGTTGCACGATGATATAGTGTTCATTTTCGCGTCAACCTAAAGTTTTGAAGACTTGAGTAAATATAGCCGTTATTAGAAATACTGAAGGCAAGAAATCACGTGGCCGTTCACTAGTGCGATGAACCGACCGACTAAAGAATGCAAACTCTTCTCACAAATTCCATGAGATGGTGAGGTGCGCTTGTGGAGGTGTGCATTCGTGCACATAAGACATCCATCAATCAGGATCATCAGTTGACAGACGATCAAGAAGAAGAAGATAGATCTAACGAATCTCTTTCTCCCACAACCCGGGTTACAAATCTACTAATCTTACTAATGTTACAAATGAAAAAGTTTGTGAGCTACTTTGTATCTTACTAAACGTTTCCAAAGGGACAAAAGTACCGTTAAGTCAAGGGTACATAACACAATTATAGCGTGTGTACTTATGGTGTTATAATGACAGTTTTTTAACACAGTTCTTGTCATTGTATCGCAAAATAACAAAAGAATCTGTTATTATTGATGCATCAAAACGCACTAGTAATATTTGTCTTTACGTGTATAATTCAATGGGAAAATGTAATAATTGAAACGCCTTTATTTCGAGGCTCAAGTTTGACCAATACAGAGCTGAAATGTAAGACAAGGCTGAAGTGTACTTATGGCGGGAACGAAGACGAAATCATAAAGACAAGAAACATAATAATACATTAATCATCTATCTAAAGGGATATTAGCTATGGAGAACATCTTCATTAATACCTCGAGATGTGATGTTTGAGTCTTTATTTTAGTTTCTTTTTTCTTCTCGAGTTTACTTTCTTTCCTTTGAAAGAATTGGTTGGAAATTATTTTGCAAAAACTAACTAAAATTCGTTTTAAACCTGTCATATTCTTTCTGTTTCAATACTGTACCTAACTAAGCAAACACAAGGTATTATATGAATGATAGTATAATTATATTTCTTTGTTTAACTATGAAAATTACAAATTATCTTGATTGAAACAAACCCAAGTTAAAGTTATATTCTTTTAAATTAGTTTAATACAACAGATACCATCGTGATACATTTTTATTTGTTTATAATTCTCATGCATCTACCAGTTGTATTAACAACTTAATGGTAATGAGTATCATTTTCATAATTTCAAACCTTTTTAGCTGATCATAATGTTGACTTTGAAGGCTTATCTTTATTTTTTGTTTCACAAGTAGGTACCTATTCTTAACTATTGTTTACATTTACATGCCATCAACATCACAACGTACGGTGTTTTTCCAAGTTATTATTAAAATGACGTTACCGTAAAATATTTCGGCGTAGTTCATCAAAGTGAAATTATCCAAGATAATGTACTAATAAATGATTTGTCCGTATCACGATCGATTAACTATGTCTACACCTGGTTATCTTAATAAAATCTGTTTTGATAATGCTTTTATCAAAATAGAACGAAATATGTAATGTGTATGCAGACAATCTTGAATGCTATTTCTGCTGATTAATAATTATCCATAATAATGATTGATGATTATTACACTGATTTTGCAAGCCCTGTTTGATATAATTGTTTTGAAGCGTAGGATATATAAGTACCTACTAGAAATACTTTAGTCATTGGCCCTACGAATCGCTAACAAAACACTGAAAGTTAATAAAATATTATAAATCTATCAGCTTACTTAAATTAAAAGACATAAGTAAATTAGCGATCAAAAAAGTTTGAGTAGATTAAGCGGAATTTTGAAGAAATTTATGTAAAATATGTTTCTAGCAAAACGCTGAATATCTGAATATTCATTCACTTTTCAACTGAATTAATGAAATATTCTTTCCTTTACATACATCATACAGTCAGAATTTTGTACACTATATATATTAAATCTAACAAGCAGTACAATCCTTATCGCTTAGACGCGATTTCTTTCAGGTAACCGTTACAGAAAGGACAAAATCTATGGTAATGGTAAAACTAAAGAGTTTGAACTCCCTAATCTCAGGAAATACGAATTGTTTTTTTTTTTATGTTAAATAGTTCTATATATATAGAATTCTATATATAGACTATAAAATCACGCTACGCGCAGCAGCAATGATAATTCTTGCATATACGGGATAATATTTTACTTTTCCTTGCGGTGAAAGTTATGCAAAAATCAAGTATTACGAAATTCATCCGTTTACAAAGTTCTAAAAGAGAGTCCGCAATGGCATATGTCTATCTTATGTATTATCCCGAAAAAAGCACATAAAGGTACGAAAATGGGAGCAAAAGTTCGTTAGGGCATAGTTTATAATTAAATCTTCATAGCAACCAATGTTATTGTAAACAAATGGGATGATGACTAAATTTAGTTTGTTAGTCCGCCATCACCAAATGTATTAAACTCGAAAATTTCGAACAATTATGAAAACAAAAAACGTGATTTTTTGTGTTTTTTTATATAGGACCGTACGTGTACGAGTTGAACTAGCGCTTGCCTGTTTTTTTTTTAAATAATATACCTAGTCTAGCCATAAATTATGTTACTGGCTGCTTACATACGTTTAAAAAAATGTTAATTTTAATTTCGAACATAAGCCTCTACGACATAAAAATAGACTTCTTTGTTAACCCGCTTTGTTAAAATAGACCCGCCATTGTTGTATGTTTTGATTACAAATTATTTGTTTTGAAAACGTAGTGGGGCCCTAAAGAGAATAGGTTTGCAGTAATTGCATCGTACAAACTAGGTAAGGAGCCAGCCAACATTTTTGATACATTGAAAAAGTTAGGGATTAGCCGAAAGTTTGAGTATCGTACCATCTAAAGGTACACTGAAACCATGTCTGTTAATGATCCTGAGAGATCCAGCCGACCGCGGCCTATTGGAACAAACGAGGCCATTAATGCAGTCAAGGCCAGAATTCGTCGAAATTCCATAAGGAAGCAGAAAATCCTTTCCAGAGAAATGAGAACCCCACAGAGGACACTTTCTCGGATTTATCAAACAAGACTTAGGTCTACGGGCTTACTGGAGATACACAGGACATACCTTAAATCAGGCACTAAACAAAAGAGATTCGAAAGATCAAAACAGCTGTTACTTCGATACACGGACGAAAAACACAGAAAAAATCACATTACCGATGAAAACAATTTTATTTTTTTTTAGATATTATTGGCCATTTTCTTTGTAACAGAACTTATGGCTAGACTGGGTATTTGAATGGAGAATTTTTCATCAGACGTCGAACGTTAATATATTAACGAGATACTTTAATATTTAACCGAGGGGCGTTAACATAATATAGTTCGCGAAAAATGTACTAAACTGTCGAGAAAAATGAATTACTAAAAATCGTAAAATACTTTAAACGAGCTACCAATGGTAGTAATAAGTTTTTATCTAAAATAGCAAATAAAATTCAAAGTGTCATAGTTAAATAATACATCGGGCGTAAAAATTGACTGGACATAACTTGATTCGATAACAAAATTTAGTTTGGCGTAACGCACTAAAATCTCTGAAAATGCTGAATTGAGAAAGCAAGAACAAGCTGACCGTCAAGATGCTATGTGCATCAGTCGTAGAATCTTGCATAAGTAAAGGATCAGGCTGTATTTTAGTCATTAATGTCCTCCAATCCGCATTCTGCTAGAGTGGAGGATCTGCATGGCTCATATTCTTGAACCCTGCTGCCTCTGCAGTGAGGATGTAAAAGGGCTGATGATGATAAACGTAACGTAGGTAAGACGCTGCCTCTGTTGCACAGATAATCTTGATATATCTCGGATATGATTTAAAAAAAAAAATATTAGAACGATTCAAAATTCGAATTTGCGTTCATGGTAGCAGACCGTCAGACTATAGAAATTAGTTCAGAATATACAAAAGAATAACTTTTAACCTTTTGATGTGTTACCTTTTTTTAAAGGTCACAAATATTTATTTACTTTTGTAAATATTTATTTTTGTAAATAATATTTATTTACGTTTATTTACTTTTGTAAATAAATATTTGTGGGCCTACATATAGTTACTAATATATATTGGCAATGGAATATGGATACTTAACTTTTTCAGTACATGATTATATTATTCACTAGCGGTCTTCCAGCGAACTTCGACAACCTTACCTTATGTCACCCGCGTTTTATGTAGCTTCCCGTAGGTCAAAGAATTTTCATGATCTAATCAGTATTTCCAAAGATTACCAAGTTTAAACTAAGGTAATTTATTAAAATAGTAAATTAGAAACTTTACCTATTTATAATATTAGTAGACACACGCGTCAATGGCTATTCAAAATTATACATTACAAAAAAACAAATTATGGAGATCTCCGTTTTTATTTTTTATTTTAAACAGTGGCTTCTTGAATTGCTTTTCAGATTCTTTGTCTAGCAACGTCGCATTAATTAGTTGTCAGTATGTTTAATGAAATGCAAAAAATATACTTGAATGACTTGATGTCAAATGAAAAAAAAAATAATTGAAAAATATACCTAACTAAAATTTAGATATAGTACGCAGTTTCAAGAAGTAAAGAAATTTTTTTACTACACATTCTTTAGACTTTTGTTCGAATATTAATATCGCTAGGTATATGTTATTTATAAAGTAATGTATAAGACATTTTTTTTCATAATAACAAGCTATTTTAGGACTAAATAAATAATTACCTTCGACTTAAATACAGAATAGAAAAAAAAGCAAATTATTTATCACATTACTTCATTCTGAAGATTATGAAGATGTCATGCGGCGTTCAGTTAATCTGATAAATACCTCATAAATAATTACTTACACAGCACGGGACATATAGTAAGAAATTTATTAAAATATAGAAAACAAAGAAATTTATATTCATACTACTAACACATCATGTCAATTGTTTTTAAAGGTCAATTGACTTCTATGACATGAAAAGAAACTAAAATTTTAATACTAATGCAACCCTACGCCAATGCCTTCGTTACTTTTTTAAATTAAAAAACAACAAAGCCTTTATTTTAACAGTTCAGTAGCTCTTACTATTTCGATAAAATAAAATAATTTTGTAGTAACTTATAAATAAGTTACATTTCGATCTTCATGGTGTCTAAAAAAACATATAAATAATCATCACCCTAGACTCATTAGAAGGTACTGAAACTATGGTGAAAATTAGTAAATTTTTTTCAATGTTCAAGATATACATGTTGCATACCCTACCCCAAATATCTGTGCACACCCCTGTATTCGGCTGCTTTTGTTTTATCCGGCTGAATACCGTTTATTTAAGTACCTAATATATTTTGTTGTAACGAGATAATTGGTAAAATAACACAAATTATTGATTAATTTTATAGTAATACCACTATCACATTTTCTATAATAATGCTTTCATTATTATTTCTAATGACTTTTCATTAGAACATATAGTACATAATTATCTGGTGTATTATAAAATTTAACGATTTTTTTAATGCATTTGAATTGCTTTTGTAATCATAGTTTACAAGCGGAAGTTTATGGTGTAGAAAAAAGATTGTGCATTTTTAAGGAAGTAGTTTACTTTCTAGACAAGCCCAGCTTCAGAGTAAAAACGCTCTGAAAAACACAACTTCCTGGCACCCATACATATTTTGCTGCTATCTTAATTCAAAACAGTAATTTATATTTTCTTGCTTGCCACCGTATACAGATTGTTATGCCGTGATATGTTATTAATATTTTTAAAAAGATGTATTTCTGTCACAACTATTTTTTTTCTTTTGATACGAGTTTTGGCGCGAAATACCGGCTCATGCCTAATATTCGGTTAGTAGGCCAGGGAGCTCGCCGAATATTGGGTATTCGGCGTATGGCCGAATCATACTCTTTGTTGTAAGTTTTTCATTTTATTTTACTACTTTGTCGTGAAATTTAATAACGACAGACGAATGATAAAGAATAATGAATATGGATTTTATAGAAATACCAATAAAGTACATTTCTAAGCAGGTAGTAAAATGTAATAAAATATCGCCACAACATTCAATAAGGTGGCTAGAGAGTTAGTAGGACGCCCCTCGGTCAAGATTTCCGAAGAGTAAATGCAATGCTATCTTAGCAACTAGAACCTCTTTTTTTCTTCTATGTTATCTTGACTCTTGACAGCGTGCACGATTGAGGAAGAAGATAACTTAGTTCATAACACTCAAAACTTACCCAGTAAACTCGCTTGCGTACGAGATCTAAAGTCAAGCCATTGGGCCATTTGACATCGTATGAAACGATCGTCTCCCGATGAGAGCCGTCCATACCAGCTCGCTCGATCTTCGGGACTTGGCCCCAGTCAGTCCAGTACATCCATCTGTGAAAAACAACCATTGAGAGTTCGGCATCGAGAAAAATAAAAAATGTTTCTATTATTTTAAACATTCAGTAAATCATTAAGATTATTGTACACCTTGGATATTTCCCACGTTTTCCTAGTTAGTTTTCCAAATTATCCACTAATGACATCACACGGTCTAATTGGATTTTCATTTGACGTAAGAAACTGTTTTTAAGTATTAAAAATATATATAATTTAGTTTCTTGATTTAAACATAGGTATAAATAATTAAATCATTTTACAAAAATATTTGACCTCCTTAAAAATTCTATAAACTTTATAATTTCTGTCCATTCCCTTTGGTCTATCGAGATAAAAATTATGTAAAGATTCAAAGAGATAGGTAATTTTTAATATGTTTTATTATTATAAACTTTGAGTTAGGAACATTTCTTCTTTATCCCTTGATTTAGTATATAAAAATATTTTTACAGGTAAAAGTCATAATGGCTTCGTTCGAGAAAGGTTTAACTATCTTCCATCTATAATATTTCCATGAATTAGACAATTCGATTGACGTCATGTTTTCATTACGTCGTTAGCGATTATGATATAATTTCCAATCAAAATTAATTAAACCATTTGTATTCATTAATATAAGTTATCGTCTCGAAAGTTATCTCATCAAAGTTGTAAACGCAAACAAATTAGTAAGTTTGATTGCAGTCACTATTTCGTCCTGAATAATAGGAAATTAGAAAAGGAAATTGTATAGAAACTTGGAAAATGCACATAGTACAAGTATAAGCAGGTGTCAAGTCAAATGTAAAAAGGGGAATTCAACTATACATTAAATAAACTTTAAAGAATTAAAATAAAAACTTTATATCAATTAAAAACCTCATTATTTTCGGAGACAGAACTTTCGGCGGCAATGCTCACGGATTTTTTAATGATGAGACGAGTGAAAGAATTGAACCACGTACGGTCAGTAGCACAAACGTCCATTAAGATTTAATGGCGCCTTTGGTTTCTAATGAATGTCAAATTTGTATGGATAATGTCGCTTTAAATTAATGAAATGTTTAATGGACGTTTGTGCAACTGACTGTTAGCATGACGAATTGAAGAGACTATAATCATCACTATAATCAATAATCAATCCATTGGGTAGTGTTGCTAGCGTAATAATTAATACGTAACATCTAAATTAAACTAAGTACTGATTTTCAGATCATACTAATTTGTAACTATAATAATGTTAAAATAGTGCAGTGAGATTTGGTTAGGTACTTCTTAAGGCGGATAAATATACATACATACCTCCTTAAAATGCATTTCATACTACAATTATTATAACAGGTATGCATTAAAGGAAAACACCTTTAATTCTAAAAAGTAATAATTTTCTTGTTTGCTATAAAATTCGAGCACCTTGAAAGAGATAAGAAATAATCATTATTGAAGATTTCGATAATCCTACATTAAAACACTCCAGTGTTGGTACACTGAAATCCATATCAGTGGAATAAAGCAACGACCTTCGCAAGAGATTTTCTGTAAGGTTTCAAGGTGTCGCTAACTCTGAGTTCCCGGGTTGCGTTTCGGTTAGGTAAATTTTCAAAATGAATTTCTATATTGTCTCAGATCTGGGTGTTCCTTCGTTGTTGTTTTAAATACATAAGGCAAGTTATAAATATTAAAATTGAATTTACCCATCCAGAGGATTCAGCGCAATCGCCCTAGGCTCCTCCAACTTGTCCCTGATCAGTATTTTCCTCATGTTGCCCTGTAGATCGGATAATTCGATGTGATTCTTGCCGGTATCCGTCCAATAAAGATGGTTATAAATCCAATCAACCGCCAACCCATCTGAAGTTATCAGCTGTTCACCAATAACGACTGTCCTCTGTGTGCCTTCGTCGATGGGAGCCCTAAAACATAAGTAGTTTCCATCATATTTAGCCCGTGATCAACTTAAAAATCTCAACCATTCAGCCAGTTGCACAAACGTCCATTAAAACTGTCATTAGTTTAAAACGATATTACCAACACAAATTTGACATTCATCAGTGCACCTTTATGCATGTCGTTAAATCTTAATAGACGTTTGTGCAACTGGCCGAAAGTTTATTAATATGGGGGTTTACTAACTTCCCCTTTTAAAACAGGTTTTATTCTAGCGATATATATCGCATGATATTGGCGTAAAATATTTGAATTTGTTTTAATAAATTTTATGAAAACAGAAATATAAAAGTCGATATTAATAACAATAAGGATAAAATGAAATTTCATTGGTTTGCTCTCAAAATGTCAAAGATTACTCTTCAATATTTTTAAACGAGATAACGACTAGTATATTTCATCTTCAGTGAGTCAATTTCTAGTTGGGTTTGATTTCCGGTTGGTCCAAACGGAGATAATGTACTTTCTACGTATCTTTATCTCAGATATTATTATTAGTTGCTGTTTTTCGCGATAAAATATAGCCTGTCTAGAATTTTTAAAATCGATCTTAAAGTTTCGGAGCCGATTCGATGCAAACAAACAAACAATCAAATCTTTCCTCGTTATATTATTAGTATAGACAAATATTATAGATTATTGCCCTCAACTGCAACAACTTTTCTATACATCGTCACAATTGTATCTTCATACCTCATATAGTTAAATATTTATCGAATTGTTCAATAGTAAATATTATTGTATATGACATTAAGTTGACGTTCGTGTTGTTTACAATTATTAAAATATAATATATATTTTTTGATTCATCATAGTAGCATTCACAACCGTGGGAGAGCCACGCTTCGGCATGAATGGGCCGGCTCGACCCGAGTGATACCACGGCCTCACAGAAAACCGACGTGATGCAACGCTTGCGTTGTGTTTCGTCGTGTGAGTGAGGGTACCGGAGGCCCAACCCCTCCCTATTCCCTTTCCTCTACCCATCAACCCTTCCCTCTAAAGCCGGCAGCGCGCTTATAGCCCCTCTGGTGTTGCAGGTGTCCATGGGCGACGGTAATCACTTACCATCAGGTGATCCGTCTGCTCGTCTGCCCCCTATCCCATAAAAAAAATAATAATCAATCACGAAAATATTACTTGTAAATTATCTCATCGGTGACATCGCTCCAAAAGATCATGCCCGTTCTGAATACGTAATCAAGCGCCGTTGCAGATTTGGTATCGTTGACGATAGCGACCATTTCATGGTGATCGAGGCTGATCTTCCTGATGTCGAAGCGTCTCGCGAATAGCAGTGATGGATGGCCTTCGGTAGCTTTGCATCTTGTGCGGTCCCGTGGGTCCCTTGCGTAGCCGGCGTGACATTCACATTTGAAGGTGCCCTTTTCATTGATGCACATTTGTGAACATGCTCCTGGATCAGCACACTCGTCTACGTCTGAAAAAGAAAATAAAAATATGATTAGACCTGCGCTTTATATGCGCTTGTGAGAGAGCGACGTTTAGGCTGTTCAAAAAAAGCGTAAACGAGACGAAATGATGACACTCATCAATGAGATAAATAGGGATAGAAAATGGAGTTTTGCTCATCAAGAAATATTTTAATTAATTACGATTATTGCAAAAGTTCTCGGTTACAATGTCCCTCGTATGTTTGTCAATATCGTCATAAAACAAGAAATGGAAAGAATAATGTGAACTTTACTGGTTATTTTTTATAGAATAAGACTGAAAGCCCGGTTATTATCATTTTCTTCTTCAAAATAAATCAATATTATACAAAATCACATACATTGCTCAGATTCCAAGATGAGTAGCTAAAGCCCCCGTATTATGGAGTATCTGAGACAAGGATGGTACCCAAACCCTCGTTATTGTTAGTCGTTATAGGAATATCGTTCATTTCGCTCACAGATTACGGTTTTATCTGAACATCTTCCCACTCTTTAAGATCAAAATTTAGGAACAGTGTTAATTTCAAGGGCCCACTATCAAAAATACCTGTAATAAGATTGTGAATATTTGCCGCTGAAAATTATTTAGAAAATTTCTCATATTTATTTTAGTGACAAAGGATAAACTAAAACATTCTTCGTTCACAATCCACGTAAATCAACTTGTTGTTCTCACCAGGTTGTTCATAGATGTCAGAACTAGAAACCTTGTATTACTCAAACTTTAGATAGTTGAGAGTTCTTGTCTCTAACTTTATAAGTATGGAGGACATGTATGCTACATCGATGGATTAAATTTTCACGTTGTTGTCGACACACAAAGGAAATTCTCCACTTTTGTCTACATTTCTGTTCAAAGATATTAGGAGATTTTTCTGCTACTTATGAAAAATTGTAAAATAATTTCGTATACTAGATTAAATTCCTTGCTGCTTTAAGTGCCGGAGACAAAATTTATTGGTTCATTGCACACAGTGCAGATCCGATCTCTTCACGGTAAAATTAGATTTCTCGTTTCAAACTTTAGAGAATTCCAACGGAACTAGAATTGCACGTAGGTACTTAATCTAAAAAGAAGTCTGAAGAAACTTCAGCGTATTGCGGAATCAAATTACCTTCACACGTCCTGTTATCAACCAGCTTGTATCCTTTGTCGCAGTCGCAGTAATATCCTACTGGGGTATCGACGCAGCGCTGTGTGCATCCGCCATTGTTTTTCTCACATTCGTTCGCGCCACACTTGTCTCGGGGCTCATCCTCGAAGTTGGGGCAGTCTGGTTTTTTGTCGCAAACTTTCGACAGAGGTATACACATGGATCCGCCGCAGTCGAACTCGGTTTTCTTGTCGCAAACTGGCTTAGGGCGCGCTAGGGAATAATAAAATTTTGTCATTATATAATTCTTTGCTTGTCGTTCTTCAATATGTTTTCTGTAAATAGTGTAATGTCAACAATAAAGAGTTATCTATCTATCTATGTTCTATAATAAAGTACCGTATTTCAGAACGGGTCAATTGATTTATTATTTTTATTTTGCATCAGAATTTTTCGAGTAGGGTCGAATTGGAAAATTATAAAAATTGGTTAGGAAAAAATATATACATATACTTGTATATATATCGATAGGGAATGGTCTGAGTTGATGTTATTTTTCTAGCTCAAGTATTCATATGATATTTTAAATTTAGTACAAATAAAAAAATATCAGATGTAGATCTTCGATCTCAATATCGTGATCAAATATTCTCTTATCTTATGATATTTGCACTAAATTTCTGGCATATATTATCTTTAAATATAATACCTTTAAATAAAACAGCCGATTATTACAAAATACCTACTGAGTTTGATTAAGTAATATATAAGTGTGAATATAGCTTTATTGGATTGATTTAATTCTATAATCGCTTCAATCCACGAGGCGCTTGCTGATAGTCGGATTAATATACAATAACACTTAATCTCATAAGTCGTATTAAATACGTGTAGGTGTAAGTTAACATCAATTGACATTAGAGTTAATTAGGTAACGGATTTGTTGCTTAAAAATGTGTTTTTATTCATCATTCTTATTTTTATAGCAGAGAAAGAAAGATACATTGTTTTGAAAACGTTCAAAAAATTATTTCAATTTTCGTTCCCTAAAATATGATTACTTGTAATGGTATGTAATGACGTTATCAACCTTATCCTATATTACATATATTCTTATGTCCCTACTACCCAATAAGCTAATCCGTCATATTGGCGCCCAACATGGGACTAATGTATTTACAAATATTTTAAGTTTCGCTAAAAAGAAACTAGCTGGGATTCTCAAATTGTCATTATACAGTCTTGAGACTTTCATATGTTTACTTACTGCAGTTGAATTCATCACTACCATCCGGGCAGTCCTTATCTCCATTACAATACAATGCCCCAGGGATGCAGCTATGGTCTTTGCATTGGAACTGATCAAGTCTGCAAGTGATATTCCCGCGGCAAATCCCAGGAGCTTCGTCGCCACCGTCGGGACAATCTCTGTCTCCATCACATACCCATGCTTTGTGTACACAGGTCATGCGGTCTTTGCATTCAAATTCCGTAGATATACATGGTGATGTCACTTTTGGTGTTGTGGCGCAGCCCTGGAAATTCATTTTTGTTTCATGCATTATTATTAATATAAACACTATCAATTTGAATAAATAGTGTTGAGAAAAACGTGATTTATATAATACTACCGGTCAATTTATCGGTTAAGAAGTAATCAAAAAGTTTCTAAATAATGAACGATTTTAATTAATTAATTAGATTTTAAGAACAGATTCTGGAATTACAAAACACTGCATGAAAGATAATTTAGTCCACTAAATTATAATTTATTAATTGTACAGCCCGTTTGTACCTACTTTACGCATATCGCTAATAATCATGATCTTGATAAATGTGAAAAAACAGGTTCCTTCAAAAGTCCGTTCACCGCATAGTTTTGAAAAGAATTTGAAAGTGCTATTTACTATTTTTTTATTACTTAATAATAAATATCGTATTTAACACAGATATCGAAACGCTCAAGACATCTAAAAGCCAAACATACCATTTCATCACTAGCATCAGGACAGTCGATGTCTCCATCACAGCGCCACCATGCAGATATACAATGTCCATCAGCGCAAGAGAAATGTGTGTGAGGTTGACAGGTAGGCGCTGGGCATTTAGCTTCGTCGCTGTCGTCACCGCAATCGTCGTCCCCGTCACATACCCATCGCTGCTGTATGCACTTTCCATTGCCACAGGTGAATTCATCCGAGCGACACGTTTCATCTAGTTACGACAAATAATGTTAATTTTCTATCAAAGTGTAAGAACTTATGGAGTATATTTGGCATTGATTTTGGCTAACCTTGCTATGGATGTGTGATATTTTAAAATAAAAATAATAAGTTATGTAAAAATTCAAAGATGTTATATGTGAACAAAGGACTCCATATATCTTTTATGTCACATTTACATCTAGCCGAAGTGGAAAGATCACAATATGCCTTTGCCCCTTGCACTGCCCGGCGTTAAACAAAAGTGCAGTTTTTTGTGCGGAAGTAAACGAATCGACAGCATGAGCAATGCGAGTTTATATTCTACTCCTTCGCTCGGCTCAGTATTCTCTGAACGCCTGGGGAAGACACTAGAATTTTAGTAAGAAAACGAAATGAACAAGAAAAATATAAACACACTTCTCTTGATCCTGCTGTAACAATATTTGGAAATATGGCGAGGGCTAGAAACACCGGCTGAATGTAAATGTAGTATGAATATTTGTGTCAATGTTATTATAGTAGAGTCATATTTATAGTTAGTAATTTTAATTTTTTTGAAAACACAGGAACTCCTACCATACTCCCCTGTACTTCTTCGGACCCAGGACGCAACACCCCAGTGTCCTTAATAAAATATCTTTTTTTTTATTTTGTCTTTTCTATTTTGCAGAAATTTGAACAATGTGTGCACTTCTGACATGGCTGTATAATGATTCAAATGGAAGTGATATTAAAAAATATTCTTTGTTACGCCCAAGATGATTTTCTATAAAGATTACAGTTAATAAGAGATTATTGGGAAGTGCAGAAATCTACTGGCAGTTAACTATTTCTTTTACTTGTAACATTTCTTTTCCTTACAAAAAAAAATATAATTCGTCTCTTGCAACGTTTCTTCTGAGCATAAATAAATTCCTTAGATAAAAGAAGCCGTAATAAATACTCTTTGAACATTTTAGTTTAACAGTATAAAGTTAGACATGGATTGATCCAAATACATTGAGGTCGTATTTAATTAGGAACAATATTTTATACAGTCCACTTTTATTTATTTATAGCCCAGCATTTTACCGCAGTTCTTGTTACTTTAATTAGCCAGTAAGTTAGCAACAACTCTCATTTCACTAGTATTTCCGAATGATATAATGGTGATGACATAATCGTGGTGCAGCTTTGGGTGGTAAGAAAGGTTCGGGTGGTGGAAAATACACGCAACGTCACGCCGTAGGGCGGGTTCGGCCGGTGCGGGCAGATAAGAATTTATAGACGGATGAGCCCGGCGTTGATAGAATACAGAGTGTTTGGCTGGGAGGGAACCCAATGATTGATTGATACCGCTGACACCGAAGAGGAATAGTTAAACATCGACTCCATCCAAGGACGTAACAAAGTAAACATAATTTTTCACCCTGGACATCTTCGATAAGATGTAGCTATTACGAAAATTACAGAGTTTTGAAAATTTCTGCAGTATGAATAAAGAAATGTACAGAGAAGTTTTTCGTAGAATATCCGTGCTCTTTAGGATAAATATTAAAATATCAAATAATTATATAAAAATATGGTTGCTATCATGCATTTTTCATTATTCTGTAAACATAGTTCAAGCTGCGATAGCGCAATCAAATTATTTATAAAGACAAGCCAATGAACTTTGAATTTGAATTTTGAGTGCATTAGTTTTTATGTATGTCACTGGAATGATGAGATAAGGAATTATGTACGCGCATCATTGCTGACCCATATTGGTGATGACGATAGGAAACAGGGCAATTATGTAAATACGCACATCATTATCTTTACCGTTTTGTAAAATACTGCGTCGATGTTTCCTGTGCACCAGATAACGGCCTGGGTGTGCGGAATTCAAATAATCAAATGTAAGAAGGTTCATTTAAATTACGCAGTAATGTACGTTTAAAGGAGTAAGTATATAATGCTGATGTTTCTAAAATCTATATGTTACTTTAGAATGGAAATATTTTAAATCTGTTACCTGCCTGTGAAATTCTGAATTTGAGTTCATTTTTAAGAATGACCTTCATAAGAATGTAGGACATGTGTATGATGAGATGATAAGTTATGTACACGCATCACTGCTGACCAATATTGATAATGGCGATGCAATCAAGAAAGGAAACAAGGCAATTATGTAAATACGCACATCGTTATCTTTGATGTTTCATAAAATACTGCGTCGAATATTCCTGGATGGTTGTGCAGAATTCAAATAAGGTAAAAAGATTATTTAAATTACGCAGCGGTTTGTACAATGTGTGGGTACTTAATGTTGAATCTGGAATTTACCTGATACTTAGGCTAAATATTTTAAATCCCTTACTGCATGCTTTTTCATCAGATCCGTCCAAGCAGTCTGGGTTGTCGTCACACATCCAAGACAGAGGCACGCACTCTCCCGGCTTTCCTCGACAGGTGAACTCTTCTGGACCGCAAGCCTCCACTTCTGTCAACCCAATGCATGCTCATGCTAAATACGATGCAAAGAATGCATATGATATAACATACACTTATTTTATACATGACCAGTAACACCGAACTTCCTCATGATGTGTTTCTGTTCACTGTCTGAACTATAACAAACGGCAGTGAAGTACCTGAAAAATCTTAAACCCTGGATGTTTTTTTTTTTGTTTTATCTAAGACTTTATTTTTTAAGGAGCCATTTTCATTTGACATTAAAAGAAAGGTTGTAATATGGTCCCTTCATGCTAACAGTGTAATAATTGTTCGTCATTTGGAACATGCCAATTGCACCATGCTGCCCAATTTCGATTCGGCCCTTACCACATTGGTGTTCATCAGAGCCGTCCGGACAATCGGCGGCATAGTCGCAATGCCACGATGCTGGTATGCATTGGCCAGTGGCACACACAAATTTATGTTCAGGACACTTGCGTTGCGTCGCTGTATATAAAAACTTTGTTGATTTCTTTGTTGATTAGGTCATTATCTTAAACATGCATTATATCTATTTTTATTATACTATTTTTCCGCAAAATGATTTAAAAAATATGTCCAGTAGTTTTGAACCTATTGAATGCAAATAAGTAATCAAATCTTGTTTCTGCATGACATTATATAACTTTAAAGGAAGTTCAAAGATCATTAAGTATACATTTGAATATCAAATATTGATATGACTTATCATTAAGTCGGGCAGACGAATTAGATAATGACAAACCATTTTAATATGAATAATAATCGTTAGTGAACTGATCTCAATAAGATTATTTGGGTCATCGTATTTAGGTAACTATACCATTCTAAATGATTTATAGATACCTACTTAAAGCTTTTATGGAGAATTTCAAATTAATGGGTGGAAATTGAAATAAAAAAATGTATCTTAAGGCGCTTAATCGATAAGTAATTGTCTGTCCACCCATCACTCTCGTCTTGTTTAAAAAAAAAAATACTCTTATGAAAAAACGTACATTAAAATCTATTATTTAAATAGAATATGAACAGTCAGACAGAAATAACATCTTTATCTCTAGGCGAAAAACGCAAAATTAAATCTCTTAAATTCATATTTAATAAATTCAAAATTCTGAGGCCGGCCAAGAGATATGAACTTATTGATTACTTTGTAACATTGGAAAGTTTTAAGAATTTAAATGTAACAACCTCAGATTTTCTATTTCAGCCTAGAAAAACTAAATAATAAGGAGTTAGCACTAATAGGACAGGCCCCTTGGCACTTAAAGATCGAACCGAACCATGTTAATTTCATTGAATCGTATCTTTAATGGCTTTTTAAATATTAAACGGATCTAATTAGTCCCCAAGGGGAGATTAAAATGGCTACATCAAATAGCAAGTCGTCCAAGGCGCCTCAAGCTGACAGCACAAACTCATTTAGAATGCTCAGTGAATACGAATGTAAAATAATGAATGCTAATTCTAAACGCGGGAGAGGCTAAATCGCAATTAATCGTACTCAGTACTTATAACTGTCCGATGTTGTATCGTGGCATTGTAACAAATTGAATAAAATCCAATTAGGAGACCTCACGACACCGTGCCAAAACTTTCAGTACACTACCTGGTAAGTTAGTGAGGTTACTTTATGTCCAAATAGGGAAGTTTCAGTAGTTATCTATCTAGAGATGCTAAGTTAAATTCTACATAAAAATACATTGACATTGGGAATTTATTTTATACAGATACTTCATTATTTTAAAAGTAATTAGAATACGTTTGCTTCGTTTTTTTTTTTTTTGTTGGAAGTCCTAATCCAATAATCGTTTATCTATATCTAGGACTGAGGCAAGCTATGCTAAAAAGATATAAACAATTCATCAAAATTGATCATGTTGAGTAGTCGTTTGTTTAAAAATATTATTTAAGATATAAATATTTATTATATTAAACAACCACTACTTACTTAACTTAATACCTATAAAAATAAAGTTGAAACGCTACTAGTTTCTAAACAGAATGTCGTATTTTAAAGCTCTCTAAAACCCAGGGATAGCATTAGCTTTCAACTTGTTTCCAACACTCAAGAAAATTAAGGCGCTCCAAACGAAACATTCGTTAATTTTTAAGAACCTATTTCTTAGGAGGTCGATGGTGCAGTGGTTAGTGCGCCCGGTTTGAGATACGGTTGTTAAGCAACATTCGTAATGGCCGGTCATAGGATGGGGGATCAAATATTTATAAGCTCGAGTGCTTCAGAAGGCACACTAAGCCGTTGATCACGGCTGCTTCTGCAATACCTACCAGTCTCTCTATTCGATTCCAATCCATACATTAGGATGGCCTGAGCCCCAGCAGAGGGTAATTAATATGACGATGTATATACATACGTAGTAACTACTAAACAAATATATATATTAAAGTCCCCAGTGACGCACTTAATACAAGCCACCGTCCTCGCTTTTCCGGAACTTTTTAACAAACTTTTAAAGAACTCTCCAATATAATTTATTCCACTTTAATGTTGTTGACTTATATAGTCATAAATCTTCTAATCGCGACCAAACTTTTTATATCAAAGGATGAACGACCAGACTAATTTCGACTTTATTTCTATATTGAGTACAAATAAAGCCTCTTTTTGTTTGACCAGAACTATATGATTACTATCTCCTGTTCATCTCCAAAATAAATTAGTTATTTTATTGGCACGTAAATGCGACCATGTGTGAATATCGCAAAATAGCGTGAATCCTATTTTACGGGTCACATAATTCGATAAGTAGTAGGTAATTATAGATAATAATATTTATTGTCAACCCTATATATAATCACGTTGAGAACTATAGTGACACAATGCAAAAAATGCTATTTTGAGTAATGAGCGTTTAAAGTTCAAGAAATTGTAATCAGCCCCTCTAAACAACGTATCGTCACTACGCCACCTAGCAGTTTCTATGTAAGCTACGTTCACAGGGATCTTTGCATTTTTTAGTTTATACTTAACAAAGAAAAAATGTTGCCAAAAGTAAAAAATACGTCGTTTTTGGTTAGTGTCATCGTCATTCTCAACGTGCATATATAATTTACATAAACAGTAATGGTTTAATATAACTATAAAAACCATTAGAGTCTATCCATAGTGCCAAATATGTTTCGCGTTGGTATATCTATATCTGACTCAATATGCATGTCCATTAAAATTTACAATCAATTACCAGAAAGCAGTTGCTAAAACTGTTTATTGACCTATATCGATTGTAATTTTAAATTAATTCTCAACATTTTAATAATACGAGTATTATTAAAAATGCTTAAAAAAATCACTTTGTCCCTGGCACTCTGAGTGGGACTCGAACCCATCACCTTTCACAATCCGGGTGTCTGCTTACGAAAGGTCACAGAGTAGCAGGGATAAAGTAGATTTTTTAAACATTTTTCAATAAGAATATTTTTCGGTATAGCATTGTGAAAGCAAAATTGTTCGAATATAATAATATTATTGAAATTATACAGACTGCAAATATGAATTAAATAATTTATTGACATAAATATCTATTTTACTACTGATTATTAATATGAGTATCAAAAATCTTTTAATTTGTTAATGTATACGAATAGCATTTTAATCTCTGGCCTAATTATTTAATTTTAAAATCTGTCACTTTCTCTTTCAATTTGAAAATTGTAAATATGTTCAATGTGTATCTTTTAAAGTTGCAATCACTTTCGGAACAAATGTTGACTTGAATGATCAGGAGACATGATAAAAACGTAATAACTTAAACTCAAAATATTTATGTCTAACGATTACATCAGACAATTTGAATTAACGTTAAACTAACGATATTGTTCATTCAATTAAAAAAAAAACGACGCGATTGCAAGCGCTATCATAAATCAAGTGAAATAGCGTGAAATTCGTGAATATCTTATAAATTTTAAATTAAAAGGGACTGCAATCAATTTAATAATTACACAATTAGGCCTCTTGTTGGAGTTATATATGTGAAGCCCTATTTCAATATGGTATGTGGTGGTTTCAGTCGATCTGTATCAAGCCGTACCTATTTCTTGCAGAGCATAATTTACCGGTTCAGTCGCCCTGAACAGATCGTATTATTATCCCTTAGGAAGGTATCCCCGTCATGAGCCCTCACATCATGTGTGAACAGTAAATAAATTAGATCGCAGTCAAATCCCAATGCTGTTTCAGCTTCCTGTTCTTTAATAATGTATCCGGTTGACTCTGTATTATAAGTAATTGCCGTTAAAAAAATAGACATGTTTTCATTACTAAAACATTCTAGTCTATAATTACACTAGGATAGTACAAAAATCTGACCAAAATGCTAGCTTTGAAGAATAAAAACACGTCAAGTCCGAGTCGGACTCGCGCATGAAGGGTTCCGTATCATTATCCATTTAAAAAGAGTAAAAGAAACACGTTTATTCTTTTAATATGGATTTGTTCGAAAAGTTAAATACAATTCGTCAACTATTACTCGTAAACTTGTAAAGCCAACTTAAGTGTGATAGTTTTCTTTTTAACAAACTATGATAGTAGTTAGAGTGTACCTATACACCCCCAATGTTCTTTCCAACGAAAAAAAAATTTTACATGTACCCTCATTTTTCAGAATTTTACTTTACCACTATGTCGGCGTAATTAACGTGTATACTCATGCCAAATTACAAATTTCTTGTCCCAATAGTTTTTTAACTAAACTGCGTATTGGCGGACGGACGAACATGACCAAACTATAAGGGTCCCTTGTATATTACGGAACCCTAAAAATTCTAACGTTAATGTATTTTTAAGATAGTAGCCCTCAAGATGGCCTAGTAATTTTGATCTTCGTACGCTCAATAATGAACTAGAAAATAATTCGATAAGTGTCTTAGCGGCAACAGATCAGTAGGAATACACGATTGAAAATTTGAATTATTTAGTAAACTATTGAGAGCTCGTAACTAATGACCTTCTTAGGCGCCACTACTTTACTAATGTACCTATAATAATAATAATGACAACATAATTGGCCAGATCCTAATACGAGTAGCTAAAGCAATTGTTAGTATTATGGAAATCTGAAACAACTAAATTACAGAGTACATTACAACCGACCAGGAATCGAACCCGAGACCTCAGAGGTGGTGCCGCCTTAAACCGACTGGGATCCACTCTGACATTAAGGTCTTCGAACAAATAAAAGTAACCATTGGAAAATTTTAAAAAGTTTTTTGAAGGCACGGAAATAGGTAACTGAAATTAATTCTATAAGTATAGACTTCGTTATATGTTCATCTAGGTATATCACAAACGCCGAATAGGAAATAAGAAATATTTAACCGTTTATGGCAACAAATAAGCGATCACAACTTAATCACATCTTTGACGTGAAGTTAATTAGGAATTAATGAATTATGCTATTTCATTAATAGTGTGCGACCTTAGCCCAAAAAATTCCTATACACGTGCTAATCTTTCATCATTACTTCATCCGTACCTTCTATATCATTAATATATAGGTATTTAATTTATTATACCAGTTTTGTGAGGAAAATATGTCTTATTAAATATTATAAGTTAATTATATTCTATTCTCACTTTGGTTCTAACTTCTTATTCTGATCCAGGCATACGCCGGCATCAGCGTGAAAAATATTTCAAAAGTTTGCTCGTAAATCCCAAGGGTATTTTCGGGGATCGTTTTTAAATCACTTTAATTTTACCTGCTACTCTATCAAACATTGTTACTAAGTATATTAATTTCTAGCTGTGTCCGAAGTCAAGTGAAATTATTATATGACTATTTAAGAAGATGTAATTATTGTTACTTGCGAAATATTAACTATAAGTCATAAATTGGCATAAGTGAATAAAAGAAATAAACACGGTGTTACTAAAACAAAGCTATTATTCCATAAGCACCTAATAAGTTTTACTTTTCAAGAGACAACAAACTTTAACGTTGCTAAGATACTACTTAAATTAGCTATGAACTAAACTATTGTGTGCTTTAATTCGTTTTTATCCGAAAGAATACGCCAATTCATCCATGAAAATTTTATTGAACTGGATATTGTATCAAGACATTAGAAACAGAACTAGTTGCTGAATCACATAAGGACTATAAATAGCATTCGTTTGATGTAACGTATTTTGGTCAGGCTTTGTGCGTGATACTCGTGTATATACTCTCAGGGATAACCCTCGTTCGGATTATAGGATCGTACGGTTTTCATGGCCTCCAATCTGGCTTTGTCACTTGGTAACCTTGTTTTTCATTGTTCTGTATCTAAACACAGATGGGAGAGCAAGGGCCGAAAGTAAATTTTCCAAAGTAATACTGTTTTTCGTCACACAAATTGTCCTAACTTGTTATTTCTGCTCCTGCTTTCGCGTCATTCATCGTGCCTGTGTAAATTGAGCGCTTTGTCTCGTAAATTGGTTCAAGAGTTATTTAGAAATTTGAACATGATATATTACTGTATCTAACAGCAAATAGCGCTTTATTTTTAATAGATATAATAATGTTTTTAATGAGTAAGTTTTCGTGCATTATACTTACTGCAAGTGCCAGGTTCTTCGTCAGAACCATCTGAACAGTCCTTCTCGTTATCACATCGCCATGACATCGGAACACATCGTCCCGTTTTGCAGCGAAATTCTGTAGATGTACAGGTTCGGCTTTCTGTAAAATAGAAACGATAATTTAAATTATTTGTGTTTAATTTAAAAGTTTAAAGGAGCAATTCATTTCAACTCATTTTATTTTTCAACGTCGAGTAAACGCTCGTTATTTTCTTAAGTTTCTTCCTCCTTCACAACATCAAAATAACTAGAATAATCTAACAATTTAGCTTCAATAATTCTTTCAATATTGGCAATACACATATTCATAAATTCCAATTACTAAAAGTGATACTAACTTATCACTCTCCCCCTCGTAGAAGGGAAGCAGTGAAAACAGGATCCATTAATTTAAGCTTGAAATCGTGGCTCAACATGCGTATAATAAGGTTGAAGAAAATTATCGGTAAATAGGTGCAGCCGCTTTATCTTGAAGTTGTTGAGAAGCGGGCACGTGCCCGGAACAATTTGTAAACAAAACGCACCCCCGCCAAATAATATCACCCTACGTGGCCGTCGTACACTGAGTCGCTGCGTAACGATAAATTCAAGAGCGCCATCAGAGATTGCTTTCTTTATACCCGGTAACGTGGTAGCTCAATAAAAGAAAAGGCTCTCTTACAAATTCGCGTGTAGTCACTGCCTATTTGTTGCTCATAATTGGCTTAGATACGCGCCGTTCAGAACGATTTTACTCAGCGGAACCAGCAACGTTCCTTAATAATGGGCTGTTATTTAGAATTAGTTATTTTTCAGATAAGATTTGGAATGTAAATATAAATTACACCGGTCTGTTTGATATTAGTAGGAGCAAAAGTATAAATTTTCTTGTCGTCGACCCTCGTTTACTTTGGGACTGCGAGCCAGTAGGGTAAGCAGCTAATACAGCGATGGTACAATAATAGCGAATAGTGTAAAAGGTATTCCTTGGAGAGACGGCGAGGACATTTGCTCGAGTGAAACGCTTCGCCGTGTAACACCCACATTATTGCCTCCTCCCCTCTGGAATGTTAATGCAAACTCCTCGGCGAGGCCCGCTTCAATCCTGGTTTGCAGTCAGCAATTATCATGCTAACTTTCTTATTAATATATTAAAGTAGCTTTATTTAAGTCTATGCAATCTTAGTGCAGCTTCGCAGAAATCTTGAAAAACACGAAATTTTTATTCATTTAGTTTTTTATAATGTATACGGAATATGGGTGGTTGATATGCTCAATTTCTTTCTCTTTTTTTACACATTATAATCTTGGCACATTTGAGTCTGCATAAATAATAGTAACATTCAATTTCTTCGCTACATAAGTACCTACATCTAGTGATTTTCTTAATTGTAGTCACATTTTTTGTTTTTAATCATGTGCGTGTTATTAGTTATTTAAAAATACAACAGAATATGACCTCATACAACTTTTACGCTTCCTTATAATGACATTACATACACTGATTTACGATAAATGTTCTAACTCTGACCATTGTTGTATTATTTGTCCCTTTTGTTCATTGTGACAAAATAAATTTGCTATTTTCCTTGAAACAAGATTTATAAGGATTCTTTACAAAGAAGTATTTTTATAGCTATTGGATACGGTGTTTCAAATCTTTGCTTTCTGATACATAAGATCAATAACAAAAATATGTGGTTTCTAGATGATAAATTTTGTTCACCTATCTAAAGTTGCTTACCAATTTCTAAAAGTTTTATGAATCAAAAGCGTTTATTCCTCGAATAAATAATAAATGAAATAATAGTCATTAAAGAGATATTTGACAATGAAATAACAAAGAGTACAAGGAATGTACATTTGCTCCGTTAATATTGATATCTGTTTCCGTTCGATTACCTACTCATTCAGTCCACTGTCACGTCGACACAGCCAGCTCCTCAGGAACATCGTTCGACTAATGGCAACGTATCCGGTTTAATTAACTGTACTAGCGAATAATATCTTTGTGACTGTCTCGGTAGTAATTCTACTAGATACTAATCGTTATCGTGTATTCCTCAGAGTTGTTAGCGACTTTAAATACTACAAGTCTTATTTTAAGTCTTCAGTTGTTTGATATCGGTTAAAAAAATAACTACTAATATATAAAAGCACAATTCTTTTTATCGTGTAATAACTGATTTTCCGCAAAACCTATGCGAATATCAAAAATTGTTTGTCCTAACGATTCTTCGTTTATCGTCCCGTCGAGTACTACTACCTAAAATCCAGAGATAATTTTAAACAATACACTCTGAACGCGATATGCAAGCATTAGACCAAATTGTTCCCAAGATGGCAATGCCGCCAGTTGGAAATTGTATTACCGTTCCGCACTTAGGCAGACGATGAGTGCATTCGTTACGGGCATAACTCGAAGCTTTCCAGTTACATGCCAACAGGCAGGCCAAGTGGAATAACTTGTGGCACGTACACGTCTCCTCTGATGCAGTAATGGCCCCTCATAAAATGGTAGAACGATCAAAACTTTCACGTTCAATGTTGTCATGAAAACTTTGGTGACACCGAGCGTCATCTAAACAAGCATAATTTTTAAGTATTCCTAAGATTAGGACGATCATGTGCCTATACCATGACATCTCATCTCGTTCATAATATTTTATCGTTACTCTTTATTTTCTAATAGTAGCTGTTCCAAATTTTAGTAGAACTTCGAATAAAATATTATATTTTACTTGTACAGCAACAGACATTAGCGACTGGAGGTTTTTGGTAATATTAATACTTTTCTGTAGAACTCATTAGACGCAGTTCCAATTCAATTTCACAATATAAAGCTCATAGCGACACACAAAATGGAAAATCATAACTATACAGAGAAATCTTCAGAGACCTAATGAAATCCGAGTTCGCTGTATGTTATATTACAAAGAATATATTTATACTATTTTTATACTTTGTCATGAAAAGAAAACCATCAAAGTTATTTTAAATATTTAATCTATACAAACATTTAACAACTAGTTATAAAAATATGATGTTATTTACATATAGGGACTTCAGATTCTCTATTTAAGTTTTGAAAAGAAAAATTACATTTTGGAATTATCCGCTTGTATGTAAATCATGTTTTGTTCTATATTTCTTTATATCGAGACAACATTGACAAGTTTATGAACCAATACACTTGTTTAAGTATCTATCTAATAGAAACATTGTAATTTACCTGATGTTTTGTAGTCGTACGCCTTAGTGTAGGTGTCGTAATCGTCGTCGTAAAGAGACGCCTCGGCGTTCACCAGGACGAGACATATTACGAAACAGTATATGAGTGACGTCATTTTGATTAATCCTCCTTTCTCTTCAGTTTTATACTTATCACACCGAATGAGGACGTATGCCGCACTTTGTTCATGAGCACCTCTTCAGCTGGCGAGGTAGATTTAAACGTTAATTTGTGACGTTTTCAAATTATCATTACGTAGTGTCAGTGGTTTTCATGGTTCTTAACGTTGCCTTGCCACTTTATATAAATTTGACACAACGATCGAAATCTTAAATTAGAATGGAAGTGGTAGAAGTAGATTTAAACTTAATAGAGACAAAATGGAATTATTCATCATTTTACGTTTCATTAAAATAGAGACATAATATATCCATGGAATCAATTAAAATATCAAACGTTGCAGATTTATCTATCCGACAACCATGTACTAGTATATAAACCCGAAGTTAAATTATGAATCTACCGGGAGCTGCCTGAATTAAAAGCAGGTAACTAACTGGGATAATCTCCACGACCCTTTGTCTTATACGGAGGTCTCCAAAGTTTTGCGCTCATAAAATAATTCGTGGTGTAAATTCGTGAATTGCGATAAGATTGCAAATCAAAATTACTTTATGCTGAATCTGTTATATTAAACAGATATTAAAAATTAATAAATTATACTTGTTCAACTATACTTTTTAGATTAAATTGGTAAGAGAATTGAATAATTACAAATTATGGAGGCTATATAATATTTTGTCTTACCATACGTATAACATTTTTAAAATAAAAGCACACATGTAAGACCCGAATACGTCGACTAGATGAAACTCTGTAATATATGCTTTTGTAATCACGATATGTATTTAAATGGCTCCATTTGCTCTAGATCCTTAGATAGATGCGAAACTGGAACCTCTCAAGTTCCGAGAATAGAACCCTAATTCTACCTGCGCGTTTTAGATATCACTACTCAATCAACAAAATAATTATCAAGACAGAAACAGCTTAACATTAACTAGCTAAAATTGTTAAAATATTATATACCTATATTGTGACAGTAACAGCAAATTCATAAATAAACTCTGCTTTCACAATAGTCACTTTAAACATATTGATTTTGTAAAGCTTTCATTGAACAGTTATTTTTAACATACACTGGGATAGGCATTAAGTGCCTGTTGATTGCGAAGCGAGGTAGTCTGTGTTTCTATCTGGTTCATAAACTACTCTGTCCATATAATTAGGCAAAGTGGTGCGGTCATTCGGGTCACCCGATCTTTTACTTGAAATAGATACATTTTAACTTATTGAAAATGATTTGAATTTAAATGGAGCTTTGCAAATTAATGAAAAGTTAATTTAAATTTCGAGTGACTGTTCTATAATAAAATTTACTGTTCGTAAAAGTTATCTTAATAGATATGTAACCAAAGCATAACTACCCTCCCGCCCCTCTTCATATTTAAAAAAAAAAGTGTTTTCAAATGAATATTCGCAGTCATTTTTATTTTAAGACCAAATTTTTTATCAGTGATAAGCAAAATTTGCATTTAGTATAAATTTAATTGGGGGAAAAGCAAAATAAATTGAATCTCTTGAAACAATATTTTCTTAAAAGAAGCATGATTCAATACTCATATTAAATTTCGACCATTTTTGACTTTTTTATTTGAACCCAAATTCGGTCTTCGTTTGATTTTAAAAAGGATAGCGCCGAAATTTCGATAAGGCTTACTCAAGTATCTATCGCAATAAACTGTTCAATGCCCAAAATATGTATGCTCGAATAAAATGATACAATACATCAAGACCCTTTCGATCATTAATAAATCCATGTAAACTCA